ACCATTTATTGTCAATCAATCGCAACAAAATCAGAAGCTAGTGAAAAGCACTTCTTGAATTTCAATAGCCCAACCGTTATAGTATAATTCCACTTGGTCAACCGTAAAATAATTCAAATCGATGTGAAATATTCTGGAAATGTACATTTTTTGTCAAAATTCGCATTTTCAGTTGGTTGGCTTCAATAAAACATATCGCGAAATCTTAACGGAATAATGTGCAGTTCCTTATATTATTCAAATGAATGTGATTGACATCTCTGCAGGCGGTCGGGGCGGTCAACCACGTTTTACTCTGGGTGCCTTTGCTAGTTGCCCCTTCGTCACTTCCATGTCCTTTGTTGGATCTGACCGCGACCAAAGCGATTGTGATCAAATCCCAAAACTATTTAAATTATATTCAACCTACAAAATGTTATTTATAACGGTTTTGCTCAATTTGTTGGGAAATTCCGTTACGTATGATTTATTCGATTTTGAGGTAAGTACGTCTTTGTGCATTAAAGTACCGAAGTGAAATCCCCTCATACTTTAACCTTGTTTGAAAATAAATAATTATTGTCCAAATAGTAATACTACAGGTTTCGTCTTCCATAGTATATCTAGTAGGCACACTAGAAAGATTCCAAATTATCTTATTTACTACTTGTGTACCATAATAAGTCATATGTATCAATAGATAAACCCCTTTGCAAAATGAACGAGCCCCCAAAACTTTTCTTCACAACTGTTCAAAAATCAATAATAAATAAATAAATATTAAATAAATGGTAGACAACGTCACATACAACGTTGTTCTGATCCCAAAGTAAGTAACTAAAGCACTTGTGTTATGAATATCGGAAACAACGACGGCGACAATACCATACAAGCACCCAGACTGGAGACAAACATAGAAAAGTTCGTTTTTTTACATTGATCCGGCCGGGAATCGAACCCGGGACCTCAGAGCTGGTGACACCATGAAAACCGGTGCGCAAATCACTTGACCAATCAAATAAAAATAATAATAATCATATTTATATGGTCTGTGATTTTAAGACACCGACTCATTCGAAAGGTGACCAGGATCAGTAAGGAAATCGATATACTGTGAGCCAAGCTTTACAAAATTGGAAGTACCTATATTTCACACAAAGAACACAAACACTAAAAACGATCTCAGAGTGAAAAGTGTATTATTATTACCCTACAATGGACTCAGGGAGATTTCTAGAAATTGAAATATACCTACAGCCGCACACCCCGGCTGTGAGGTCTAAATTACTCCATGGGCACCGTATAAGCAAGGTTGAGGTTTCCCCAAAATCGTGTGACATGAACCTATGTGAAGCAAAGCCAGAATGTCTTTATTTGGTGAAGAGCGACGTCGCAGATTGGTGAGAAGATCTGGAGAGTGTTATGCAGACGTACCTATGATGTTTCGAAAAAGTGACGCCGTACGGTAGAGGGTCTGTTATGTTTTTGGCAGATAAAACCTACGAACGTCTTACGGACTTAATTTTTAATGAAAATGACACAACGATACATCAGAGAAATCCCAATTCCTCATGCACAACCAGCACTAGCCATCACACCTGCTACTATCTTCATGGAAGATAATCCTCACACATTCCGAGCGGGTGAAGTAAAGACTTACCTGACTGAGATCGGGATTAGCCGTTTAGTTAGCACTAGACACGTGTGGCGCGCAACAGTCGTTGACGATTTTTCACATGGCCGGCGTAATATTAGCTCATTTATTTACTACATTTCTATACATTGTCATAAAATTTAAATTAATTACGTTTTTGTCAACGTTTAGACCAGATTTTATGTTAGGATTTTTATGTGATTTTTTTACAAACATTGTTTAAGTTGATTACTGTTAGTAACATTTGTACCTACCTACTCAAGTACAAAATTAGAAGTATACAAAAATATGAATACAAGAGTTGATTCACGCAAGGCTTTAGTGAGTTTTTAAACATCTGAAAAATATATGTTACGCCGATTTCACGACGATCACGTCGCCGGCGCCGGTTTAAAAACCATCACCGTCGATTTTACAATCGGCGCACATCTCTAGCCAGCACGAAGTCCCGACCTCATTCCCATAGGCCGTTTTAAATCTAGATGTGCCTACTTAAAGTTAATTATAGTCCGATGCGAGAGCTTATAACTGTTATTAAGGCCGAATTTGCACGTTCATTCAAAGCGTGTTGCGAAAATTTCCAGAAGTCATATCAGTCAATATCCTTTTGTAACTATTTATTGCTAACTAAAGAGAGAAGTCACTTTTTTGTAAACAAGGAAATTAAGTAAGACTAATTTACATATCAATAGTTCAACATTAAAATCTTAGTAAATAATTTTTATTTCAGTTAGTTGCATTAACATATTTTATTACTTCCTTACACTAATAGTCATAGTACCGAAAAGAGTCAGTGCTCGTTTTTTCTTTTTGCAAATTAGTGTTACATCGTTTGTGCCTATTGAATATTTGCGTTTTTTATTAGTTTGTTGCTATCTATTCTTATATTCTTATAAGTCATTGCTACTATGTTACTAGTAACAAATCAGTAAAACAGTAGCAGTAATGTTGCGCTACTTATAAATCTATGGCGCAGATGTGAACGTTTTACGCTCGTGCTGTACTTGTGCCACCCTACCAAAACACTATTGTCGGCGCACCTCATAAAAAACGCCCGTCTTGTTTACCTCACTTTTTACCTTTTTTAAACTTTTATTTAGCTTTTTATATGTATTTTTGTCGCAGCGCACGCGGCGGCCGCTTTACACGGGTCTCAATGAAGCGTTATGCGCGCCCATTGTTAGCATCTCAGTGACGTAATTCATTTTTGATGTTAAGTTAAATGTAGATAATCGGTGGAATCGAAGCCCTCTCCTTTAATAGATTAATTTGTTGACGCTGTCATTTAAAATATTTTTTTTTTAAATAAGCCGCATTTGATGATTTAAAGAGGTTTAAAAAATAAAAGTAAATGATATCTTTATATTCTCTGTATCTTCAAATATGCGTTTACTGTGAAACTTAGTAGTAAAATGATTTTTAAAATGAGTTTTCGAATAAATAAAAATAATATGCGATTTCACTTAACCGTACAATTAGGTACGTGTGAGATTTAATACTGAGATGTTTACGAATTTGTTTCGCGATCATCGATGATTTTGTATGACAACTAAAATGCTTTTATCTATACACATACACTGAGCGGCACGGAATCTTGGCCAAGCACTAATCTCGCGTTTGCAAAAGTTTTAAGTGTTTCTAATAAGTACTTCTCATGAAGGTGTGTAGAAAAAATGTTTACCCTCATTTCAAGAGGGCAATTAATTATTTTTGTGTGCACTGTCACACAATTTTTAAGTTTTAGTTGAATCGGGTCATTTGGGCAATAAGGTTGTGGGATAAAAGTTTAAGGTTTGCAAAGTGTACTGTTAAGTTACCGACGTCTTGTGTTTTTGAGTGTTTAATACCATATTTAAAAGAGAAAATTTGTCAATAAAAATGCCCTTAACACCAACCCAAGTTGCACAGGCCGTAACTTTAATTGACCAAGGGCTGTCACAACGTGAAGTGGCTATCATTCTGAATGTGCCACGTTCTTCAATGCAGTATGCCTTAAAACGATACCAGGAGACAGGCCACTATACTCGCGACCAGGCAGTGGTGGTGTTAGGTGCACATCGGCTCGGGATGACCGTTTCATTGTTCTGGAAATTTTGAGAAACCGCTACCTTACCGCTGTAGAAATTCGCAATCGGCTCCAAATCGCGAGACAAGTAAATGTCAGCGAGCGTACCGTGAGAAGACGTATGGAAGAAGTTAATTTAAAAGCTCGTAGGCCAGCAAGAGGTCCAGAACTTCTCAGACAGCACCGAGTAGCTCGACTTAGGTTTGCACGGGAACATGCTAACTGGACACATGATCAATGGGCTACAGTTCTGTTTACAGATGAGTGCAGAATAGCTGTACGTGCTCCAGATGGCCGAGAACGAGTGTGGAGAAAAAGAGGTGAACGGTTTCTACCCATTACCACCACACAAACCGTCAGCTTTCACGGGGGCTCCATAATGGTATGGGGAGGAATAAGTTCTGACGCTCGCACGGAGTTAGTGATTGTCGACAATCGGCTGACTGCCACACGATACATCGAGGAAATACTCCAGGATCATGTTATCGTGTATTCGGAGTTCATTGGACACGACCAATTTCTTTTAATGCATGATAATGCACGCCCGCACATCGCACGTTGTGTGAATGAATATCTTGAAGAGGTTGGTATTCAAAAATTGCAATGGCCAGCTCGTAGCCCGGACTTAAATCCAATAGAGCACATATGGGACACGCTTAAAAGGAAAGTAAAGTCCACTCCCAACCCGCCACAAACACTTAATGAGCTCCGAAATGCAGTTCTTGCCGCTTGGGAAAACATTCCTCAAATTGATGTCAGAAATATCATTCAAAGCATGCCAGATCGAATGCAGGCTGTAATTAGGGCAAGAGGAGGTAACACCAAGTACTAAAACGTATGAACATAAAGAAAGTTGGCTAAGTTTTAATTTTTCAATTTTTTAGAATTTCGTGTTTAAAAATCGTTTTTCTCGTGTGTAATTTAAAAAAAAAAACACTGTTTTTTGGTGTACGAACACTATAAAAGTGTAAAAAAACAAAAATAACGCATATTGAGTGTAACTAGACTTTATTTGGTAATAAAATAGTCTTTTAATATAAGTTATCGCAAAATCCAAGTGTGGCCAAGTTTCCGTGCCGGTGAGTGTATAATAAATTCTCTATAATGTGTTCAAAAACTGCAAATTACGATCAGCATAAAGGTAAACAGTTTTGTTAGGACAAATTTCTTATCTGTGAAAATGTTATTATTGCTTCTTTAAAATTTCGAACATCTCTGAAAAACAAAATAATTTCATTTGACCTCAAGTCTAATATCAGTCGAGATGAAGTTTTATTCGCAATGAAATGTCAATTGCAAGCAATTTTGACAATTTCACACGTTACTTGATATCGAACGATATATAGTTAGGGCCGATTCTAGTTTGTCTATGAATTTTGTTTCTATTTTCGTTTTTATCTATGAAGGTTATGTGACATGCGTGAGAAAGAGTTTTTATTTGCCGCCGTTTCGCCAGTCGTAACGTGCGGTTCCCGAACACATCACAAAGAGCTTATAATATATGTGTAGATAAAGCAGTATATGTAACTGTACATAATTAGGCATTAAAACACTCGTTTTAATGCCTATTACATAACAAGTAGTTTCTTTTAATTGTCGTAGCTATTGAATGAAAACTTTTATAAATTTTGATGGACGTTATTCGTTGTTTTGTTCACACAGCCGATACTTGTAATAATAGTGTAATGCTCCAATATACTTTTGAAATGCAGCTATTATTCTAGGTATATATTATAAAAACAGGAACAAAATTGTCATCTAGATTTCAATACAAACATTTCATTCCCATAAGTACTTTTTTACCCTAAGTTTTTAAATGTGTAATACGAATGCGATTTTATGCGCCTGATTTCAAGTGCGATGATGTCAACAGGTGTTGATAGAGGCTAAATACTCAGTGTACTTCTTTTCTTGAGCCTGTTGCAATTTCTGAAGCTTCTTGATTAGGCCTTTGCTGAGTTCATTGCCTTTGTGGTCGTGCGTTGGAAGACCCTACAACAATAAGGAAACTAGAGATACAGAGTGTTTTAGTCGAATAGCATTTCGTTCGTAAAAAAATAATATCAATGACAAGAAACCAATCAACAACGCGCTATCGACTGGCTAGCCTTAATAGGCTAATGCTGCAAATCGACTGTCTTTATAGTCGGCACACTGCATTATGGTTGCGGACTATAATTATGTTATGTAATGCAGTTAAGGACTAGTATTTCTTTTTTTTTATATTAAGTAACGGGACAAACAAGTCGTGCGCCTGATGGTAAGCGCCTGTCCATAACAGTTGCAGCGCCACTCACAGCTTTAAATCGCAAAGATCTGAGAGGCACTGCCACTGCGCTCGTCACTCTGAGACATAAGTTGACAAGTCCCATGTGCCCTTCAAAACCGGAACACAGTAATGTTGACTTGAAAGTAATGTTGAATGTTGTTTAGCGGCACAAATAGGTAAAGTGGCAGGACTTCCCTGGATGAACTCTTTTACTTCTACTAAAACTAGATTTGATTAAATTATCTATGTAATTATTGAGAATGTAGAATTCTTTTATTTGCCAACACAGTTACCAACTGTCCTTTTAGTTATTGAAAGGTTAGAGGGAATCCTTTTATGACATTAAATTAAAATGTAATCAACAATTTAAAATTGCAATTAAGTTTTATTGAATGTCGGGATGTTTCACCACCATGATATTCAATTATTTTTTTGTTATTCCACTAGTTTGTTATAATTATTAAACAAAGATCGCACTTGGAAAAAATTCACCAATATAATTGTAACAATTTATAATGTTAATAAATAATTGGTAAATGTACAAAGGCGTCGTAATTAACACTTTAAATTGCTGTTAACATTTACAATTTGTTTTGTGATACAGACGGCAGCATACCAAGCTACACATTGACGGATCTTGTTCCGTTAAACTGGAGGCGATATTCGAACAAAAGTGTATAGCTTGATATGATGTAGACTGTGCAATAAAGTGCATACATATATACATACATAGTGTTTAATAGTGAATACAAGAGATTAATACAAACAGAAGAAGTTGCGACAACTTAACCGATACTGCTTTTAAATAAAGTGATGCCAATCGTCTGAATTCACGAATAAATTACTATCTATCATCTACGGTGTTAATATAAAAATTGGGGTCTTATGGCGTCGATATAAGTCCACAAAGAAGGTTATATATTAATTACATTGTACAACAGATATATTTAAAAATCGAGTTCTTAGATTTTTCGTGATTGATTGTTATACATAGGAAATGAAACTATTTGGTTTTTCAAACAAACCTACGTTTCAGGCCCTTTACAGGTCCCATGATCACGGCTGACTGTAAATAACCCGAAACGTTGGTTTGTTTGAAAAAACAAATATTTGCGATTTAGATCCTAAAAAATTATTTTTTTCCCAGATATATTTCAAGTTCTAAATTTCCTTTTGGCACGTTAATAATAATGATTATAACGAGCCAGACAACCACACCTATTGCCTGGTCTCAAACTGGGGAATTCCCTGTACTGTGAGTACCCCTTCCCGGGACAACCAGACCAGCATCAATTTAGAACAATTCATTTCCCAAATTGGACCTACCGGAAATCGAGCCCGGGACCTCCTCATCCAATGCCCACAGTGCAAACCTTTGGACCACCGAAATCGTCATAAATAAACTTACCTCCTCGTAATAAACTCACGTCGTCAATGTATTCTATCGAACTTTCTACTCAATGTTAAAAAAAAGCGCAAAAATTGCTCATGAATACGATTACTGGTTGAATACATGAATTAAAAATAAATTAATAAAAGAATTTCTGTCACACATAAGTAGTGAATAGGCTGGTTTGGACGCGCGTTTAGTGTGCAAATCTATAGAAGATAGGTGTAATAATACGTCTGTAGTTTTTCCAAGGCTGGATCGACTAAGACTTTGTAACGATAGGGCACTAAAGGTCCCACACAAAAAATACACATTTTATTTTTTTGCTACTAAACTATTAAATTTATGGCAAAATGTGACATGACAATATATGACAATATTTAATTAGGGCAATAAGATCTATCGATTGGCATTTTTAGAGAGGTATCGTGAAAAAACATCCAATGTCCGTAATGTTGCAGATACGACCCACTGTGCAGTATGGCAAAGGCGCTGATATGAGTCCAGCCAGTCTCACAGAAGTTTTCTATTTTAAAAATACAGAAATTGATTTAATTTATTTTTAAAGACCTGACCTGAAAAACATATAACACGCCGATAACGCCGCTGCTGCCGGCGATTTCACGGCGCACATGTCGGTACAAAGTTTCCAAGTAGACTAATAGTAGAAAATTGTACAATTATTATTTATGATTTTTATGCGTCGTCTGCAGAGGTTTATGTCGTAAGTAAATAATAATTGGATGAATAGTATAGAATAGTTACAGTTCTGTCTACAGAATGTGAAAATAATTTACTTATAAAGTTATTTCGTAATATTACTTATTTCCAAACTGAAAATAATCGTGTAATATCACCCATATCTTTGCTGGTTTGAGTCCAGCCGGATCGAATGAAAAGTTCGATTTTTGTATTAATAATTATAACAAACTAGTGGAGTAACTTAAAAAAAATGAATATTATATTAGTAAAACATCGTGATATTCAATAAACTTAATATTATCCATGTTTATTATTTTTATTAACAGTCTTGCTTTAAAATGTCCACTTACCTTATCATCAAACTTAGAATATTTGTCAGTATCCTTTTTGAACATATCTGCGGGTGAAATTTTCTTCTGTTCTTCTTTAAGCCGTTGTGCTTCTAACAACTCCTGCTTCTTCCGCTGTTTCTCTGCTTCGATACGCTTCTTCTCTTCACGCTCTTTCATTAGCTCTTCTTTACTTACTATCTTCACTATAGTGCGATCTTCGAAATTAGAAATCAGTTAAAATCTGTTCAAAATTAGTTCAAAAGGAGAAAAAATTTTTTTTGCAAAAGTTTGAATGCCAAGTGTTAACTTGAGAGTATACTTTTTCGATACCATGCAATCGAAGCCACAGGCATAAACTAGTTAATAAGATATTTTATAGTTATTAAGATATACTAACCAGCTTTGTCTTCTAACCGCACACCGAGTTCTGGTAAGATGACATCTCTGAGTTCATCGCATAGAGAGAGTACTTCGTTGGCCCGCCCATTACGCGCCGCCGAACGGACTGCGCCGCGGAATGTACTCAACATTTCGAGGTATGGCATTACTGCCTCTTCATACTGTTGCAGACAATTTAAAACAACACACTACACTTAGGATGAGATTTATAAAACAAAGTTCGACTAAAGAAATAATGGCGCACTAAACGAATTTTTCGAATTTACAAAATAAACTTAGCCTAAGTTTAAGCAAAAAATTAAATTTAAGGTTCAGTTTACTTCTTAATTTGTTGCTTAAACTTAGGCAAAGTTCGTTTTATAAATCCCAACCCAAATATTGTTTGCACTGTTATGAGGCCAAAATTCTATGACGTCAGCCTGTGAGGCCTTGTGCTGTCTATGAAGAACTGATTTTTTTATACATACTCATTTGAATGGTACTGTCAGGTGGAAATATTTGGTACGCATAATACACACTGTTAGATTGAGTAATACATTTCAAGTGCAGCTCTGCAGATCTGTACACACTTTTACCCTTCGAAACGGAACGCAATATGCTCACATTACTGCTTGGCGGCAGAAATAGGTAAGGTGGCAGTACTTCCCAGGACGAACTCTTTCACTAGGAGCTCTACTGTTACTAAATTAATAGCAGTAGCGCTCCTACGATTTTGTATACACAAAATCGTATATTTTCAAATATAGTACGACGATAAGTACGATACTCACACAGACACCATCACCATCAGCTACAGGGAACCCAATGCCGCCTCTCGGGCCTTCAATTGCACCGCAAATATGAAGTATATCAGTGACATATCTCGCCGCTGTGCAGAGCAAAGGTGCGTTACGAGGTTGCGTCTGACGTAAGTATATATGAGCAGCTCCTACTAGCTCTCTTAAGGCATCCAACGTACTTCGGGTGTCGATGTTGTCTGCAAAAGGTAGTCAAATTTATTCATTACAATAGCCGCAATATCGACTTGGAAATCCTCAAACTGACTCTGCTCTCTGTATCAGTGTACCGATGGGTATTCATAAACGATCGCACTTCTCTAATATGACTGATGTTTCCTCGCAACCACAGCTCACTATCTTGCGCTACTTATGAAATACGTGCCGGAACGGCATTAAGGCAAGTATACACACATTTTTGTAAAGATAACTTGTGTGACGTCATTTTTATAGCAAATTAACAGCTTGATGCAGACCTATCTTATTGTTTAATTGCCTCAGTGGCCAAACGGTTACTATCCTGATCCGCCACGCAGAGGTCCCGGGTTTGATTCCCGGGCCGAGAAAAATATCTGTATGGCCTACATTTATTTCTCTCTTAAGTTTGAATGTAATTTGTGGTAGTCCATGTGCGTGTCCGTGCCACCTGCGAAACAGGGTTTCCCTGGTGAGAGACTATAATAATAAGTGTGTGCATTATTATCACTATCATCTGCAGGTAAGAAATGCGGACTTTCACCCAAAATCACTATGGCTCTACACAACGGCGATAAGACCTACAATCAGCTACGGCGCGATAGTATGGTGGCCACGAACCGAACTGACGACTGCAGCCGACTAACTGGACAAATTCCAAAGACTAGCATGCATGACGACGACTGGCAACATCGGGACGGCGGGCCTCGCACTATTCATCAGACAGGAAGCAGCGACAACGGCAGTGCGTCTAAACAAAACTGGCCTATGGAAGCGCGAACCCGGATCCCACATACAGAAATCCTTACTGGCGGCGACTGTGGATAGGATCGCAAAACAATACATTTTCGACAAAAGTACAAGGTACAAATTGTTCGAAGATCTCAATGAAGGACTAAACCCCAAAGAGGTACGCATCTTCGCCGACGGGTCCAAAACAAATTCAGGAACAGGTACTGGGGTATTTTCAGAAGACCTCAATATCAGGATTTCAACACCACTTAGCAACCACAACACAGTTTTCCAGGTTCAACGTATGGGTATAAAGTTAGCAGCAGAAGCAATCATAGCTAGAAGAGTACAGAACTACTCCATTCGAATACTCTCCGACAGCAAGTCAATTCTTCAAGCACAAACAGGTCAGCTATGACATAAACTCAGGGCTCATCAATGAATGCCACCAAGCATTCATGCAGGTATGTACTGTAGCAGGCAGCTTAGGTTTTGTATTTGGAATTATATAAATAAGAGACGGTTGATGTCAAACGGACATCTTAGTAATTCTAGGCTAAGATTCCAAATTGAATACATGTACGTTTGCAGATATGTTTATGAATAATCGTCGTTTCTCTTATAAAAGTACCTCTCTCAAAGCAATCTGAGTTACGTCCTCTATAGTACATACAACCATGTAACCCTACAATGGAACAAAGGACACAGCGGCTCACATGGCAACCACGCAGCAGATGAACTGGCCAGACAAGAGTTGGAGATTGACGCTATAGTATCCCTTCCCTACCAATGGTCTAGAGCAACTATACACAAAGGTACAAAAACATCCCATAAAATCACATGGACAACCCTTACGGTTTGTAGACAGGCTAGGGAAGCACTCCCCATGCTTAACGCCAGTCTAATAACCGAAAATGTAATGGTCATGGTCCATATAATAAATAACATTTCTATCTACGTATCACGGACAGCCCTCTATGCAGAGCAGAGTGCATGGAGAAGGAGGAAACGGCGGCGCACATCCTACTACAATGCTCCGGCGTGGTTAACTACAGGGCAGAGTACCTCGGAGTGCCGAGATCGCCCCCCGAAGTCTTCAGCCAACCGAAGTGGGCGCTGAGATTCTTGGAAGAGCTTGGATGGCACGAGTAGGACCTTGTACCCACCTTACGCAAAATAAGCGCCTGGACGTCGAGTTGCGGATCGTTACATCATACCATACCATTATCATCTGATACCTTTTTACTGATGCAAAGCCAGAACGCTCGAGGAGCATTTCAACAACACAAAGAAGTCCGTAAGGCTTGGCTAATAAAGTTTTACTACCCGTCGAAAAAATAGATTAGAATATATTGCCTTGATCGCATAAAATATTTGCATAATAATTTTAATTCTAATTGTGACTGCCAAGGGGGCTGTACAATTTGCATACAAATTTGTTAATTTTATATTTATAATATTACTATTTTATAATTTTTGTATATGATGTGACCGACTATAACACAATAGAAGTACAGACAATCACAAATTATTTGGTTATAAAACAGGGAATTAAAGCGTATAGTGTGTGCTCTGAAAGAATAGTAATCTGAATTAAATTTCAATACTACTATTACTAAAAATGTTTTTATTTTGTTTCCTTTTGGATTTATTACAATAGTCATTTCAATTTGTAAATTAATTCAAAGCAGTGATTTTTAATTTCCTATGTAAGTAAAGTATGTCACGGTGACTGTATTGATAAGGCAATTTTGTAAAGTGTTATTTTTACTTGATTAGACCATGGCAAGATACAAATAATTTATAACAACAGTAATCTTATACTGTTTAATGTTTTCAGTAATTAAATTTCTGTGGCTAATTTGACAATTTGCAATGCTAGGAGGTATTATTAAAAGTTGATAAAAATTGTACAGTAAAGAGGAATAAACTGCGCCATATCGTAATTACAAAATCGCTAGCGACTAATTTGCTACTAATAACATAATAAAACACCACCACCAAGTAGAACGCACATATCGTGTGATAATGACTTTGACTTAATGGCACTGAACCGCTGATTCCACTCTTGGTTCGTTGAGTGGGTCAAATAGGATTTTCAATCACTTATGATCCCACTTACATGGTGGAGCCAACAATATTAGTTTTAACAAGTAAATTTTTGGGCTTATGGTCCCCATTCGAAGTTTTAACAAAACCACTTTAATTAAAAATAATTGATAAAATTGTTTTGTAATAATTTGTACCATTCGAGCTCAATTTATTAACAGGTTAAAAACAATCAGAAGATTCATAATAGAATTTTAAATTGCTTACCACAGAAAGCTGCATGCACCTGCTCTTTAACTGTACTCAGTTTATTGGCAAGCTGTTGATCTTCCGCGCGCCATTCGCCGCCGCAACCCTCATTATAACCGCTGCGCATAGCATCTTTTACTGTTAGGAAGAATTCCTGTAATACATTAGAACAATAACTGGTAACATAAGTTAAACAAATCCATTTTGAAGTGTCATTTGGATAGTTTCTACACTGTAACCCGTATCATGCAGATATATTATGTTTAGTTTTATCACACTGAGCGCATGTTCTCGTGGGAAGACACCTTCTCACAATGTACAAATTCCATTAATTACGATGAACATTAGCACAAAATACAGAAACAAGCATGAAAATATTTTGTCTTTTTATTTATTGTCTCCTGATTTGTACTTACATTGAACGTCTTCTCAGTCTGAATAGCCATTTCCATAGTATTATCAGAGTAATCAAGTGTCTCCTTCCATCCATGTAATAGGAATGCGATTCTCAATTGTCGTGCTGTGTGTCGCTTCAACGCGTCGGAGATGGTGATAAAATTCTTCAGAGATTTGGACATCTTGCAACCCGCGATTGTCAAATGTCCAGTATGGAGAAAGTAGTTCACCCAACCCGGTTCATCGAAATATGCCTAAAGAGTCATTACAACGAATTAGAATAATATGATACAGGACGGTTCTATGCTTGGCCATGTTCTCTAAATAAGAAAGTGAATTCGCGAGGCAAAACAGACTTCAATTTCATTTTTATGCAATTTTTGTCCAGTGAAAATTATTATGCAAGTCCTCGAAATTTCCAATTTTTATCTTGTTATTATTCAAAACAATCTGATAAATACAGTGAAAGTACCACAAACCTCACTTTGGGCAATTTCATTATCATGATGCGGGAATTTGAGATCTACACCGCCAGTATGTATGTCCAGCTTAGATCCGCAGACGTCAGAGGCCATGGCGGAGCACTCGATATGCCAGCCGGGTCGGCCCTGGGCCCAGGGCGATGGCCAAGATGGCTCGCCGGCTTTACTTCGCTTCCAAAGGGCGAAATCGTTGGATGATCGCTTTTCTGCTGCGTCGTCACTCAAATCACCTACACAACGGAGAAGACACAATGACTCTGAAGGAATAAAGTACACTTTTCGGTACGCATTAACATTGCATTCATATATATTATTATATGTAATAATATTCGTAATCGCGCCAGCACAAGCCAACAGATACATCAGTTAATACAAGGCATATGTATGACAATGAAACTTACAAAAAAATTGTACATACACAGCATTTTAACAGATTTCAATAAATGACAATGAATATATACCTTCTCCTTCCTGCAAAGACTTGGTATCACCATAAGCCTCAGGTACAAGCCGTGCATAGTGATGCTTGTCTCTGCTATCAAATTCACTCACATTAAAGTACACAGAGCCGTTTGACTCATAGGCTAATCCATTGTCTATTATTTTCTGAATATATTCTACTATCCGAGGTACATATTCACTAACTCTTGTGAGAACATCTGGGGGTAACACCTAGACAGAGAGTGTGAATGTTAAAGACAAATAGTATACAACAAAGGTTAAAAAACAGACACATGCTTTTTTGTTAGATGAAATAATGAATTAATGGGCAAAAGTTGTACATGTTATAAATTTTTATTATTATAGTATAAAGAGAAAATGATACTTAATGAAGACCTTACTTAAATTGTAATCTTACATTAAGTGCCTTCATGTCTTTATGGAATTCATTCTCCCAATGCCTAGGCAAGGTGGTAAAAATAGCATTATCAGACACTGTTGACCCCAATTTGGTATCCAGCCATTCTGATAGTGGATCTTTTGCTGATTTAAGAAGATCACACTTTGCTAGAATGATTTTCTCTTGATCTTTTGACTGTACTGCTTCTTTAAGAACTTTTACTGCTGATGCCACACTGAAAAAATGAATTTATAGATTAAAACGAAGTACATAACGAAATATAGAAATGTATTTAATTTTAGACCATAGAAGACATAATATGTATGTATGTAGCCCTGAATATCTTATGCAATTCGCTACATACAAAGGTCATTAATGTACAGAATACAGTTTTATGTACAGGCAAAGTAATGAGAGTTATTGTGAACAATAATAACATGTAGTTTTGTGTGTGTTGAATATGTCCACAATCACAGCAACAACATAATTGCATTTATCAAGAATTGCTTTACAGGCAGCTATTGTTTTGTTCACATTTAGTTATTTGCATGAGACTGTTTGAGGGTTTTCTCTTAGATATTTATTTATTTATATCATGTTCAATACATGGCCCTTACTAAACATTAAAAACTGAGTAATGCCTTATAAAAACTGTAAAATATTTTAAAGTGAAATAAAAAATTAAACTCGGAAAAATACCAATGTGGAGCAGGATGCATCAAATCCAAGAGGATTATTTTATATCTTATTAGACAAATGTAGAGATAAGATAAATGCACAATAATACTTCATATATTTTAACAATATTTTGTAACATTATTGAATAATTTATGACTGAAAAACATTTAAGATTTTTTTAATAATACAGTGTAAAATATTTCATACAATGTACAAAATTAGTGAATAGTGAACATCACATTATTCTTTAAATATTGACAAATGTTGGGTACATTTGTAAAACAGGGGAAAACAGAAAACATGATTTATTGCAGATCCCAGATACAGATTCTTTTTACAATGGAAAGTCAGACTGAAGACATTGTTAATTGTTGAGACTACAAATGATATCTAAAAGAACATCTGGAGAATCTCCTGATGCAATTTCACTACTGCTGCCATTACTTTTTGGTATGAAAAATATTACTGGCATTTGCTTTGGATATTGAAAGTGAAATAAAAAACATTTACATTATCATATGGAATTCAATGTTCTAGTTACCCTTTAAATTTTATTCTATAAAGAACAAGTATAACTTGTGAAAACAATTATGAACAACTTGCAGCATAAAACCATGGAAGTGGATACAAATGGTATGCAACACTCTGGCAAATATGTACCTTAACACTGATGCAATCTATGCAATTGCCACTATCTATTTTGTTGTATAAATAGTGCTTTTGCATTTATCCAAAATTAAAAAAGAGACAGGAGAAAATAGTACATTATTATTTAGAGCAAGAGTATTTAATATCAGTCATGCAACCTCAAAAATATTAATTTAAATATAGATAACTGGACAGGGCCCACTGTGTTAAGACAACCTATATGATGCAGCACTCATTCATAATCCAAATTAATATTATAAATGCGAACATAACTCTGTCTTTTACATTTTCATGCCTGAACTGGTGAATTAAATTTGAAGAATTTTCATGACATGTCAGTGTTATTATTTTATTGAAGGCTTACAAATTAATGATATGATAAATGTTTTTAGATATTTACTAAAATATCAATTGAAATTGAATTTGAATTATAGTTGCGTGTTTTATACTTTCAATATAATACAAAACACTTCACATGTCTATACATCATTTAGAATACATCAGAAAAATAAAACTATAAGAAAGAACCCTTGCTTCAAAAATCAGGTACACAAAAAACTGACATCAAATGAAGTATCACAGGGATCATCCTAGTTTGTGTTAAGTATATACATATTATATTTAGAAAATTTGACATACTTGTCTAGCATTATTTGAAGAGAATTCTTTTTATCAGGGTCACCAGTATTTTTAACAACTTCTTCATAGTAATTCACAACTGCACTTGCATCATCTGTGATACAATCTAAACTTTTTTGATCCTTCATATATTGCTCATAAAGATAATTTTGTCGGGCTCGCTTTATAATTTTATCATCAATATCTGTTATGTTCATCACAAATAGGATATCATATCCAAAGTAGTTTCCTAGAATTCGCCTTAGAATATCAAACGAAATGTAGGATCTGAAAAACAGTAAAATTTTTCAATCAAGAAATTTTTTTTATTCGTATGTTATATTCATGTTAAATGAAAGTGTTTACCTGGCATGACCCATATGTGATGCATCGTAGACCGTAGGACCACAACTATACCAATTAATGCGATTTCTGTTAGTGCACACAAACTCTTCTTTCTGACGAGTTAAACTGTTGTACAACTTCAATACTGGCCTCTTCTGTCCGCTTGAAGGCAGAGACCAAGTTGGCTGGCTTCTTTTAGACATCTTCCATTAAAATCTATCTCTTCTGATGATGTTACCTATAGTCAAAGTAACTTTTTAAGTGTCTTTTTTTCTTTTAATTAATTCACTATTTTACAACTTTTGTTCCCACATGTCGGCTTCAGACTGCCACGTTTTTAATAACCTCCCTATGAGTAATCAGAAAAAAAAAATATTTTTACATACTTTGTTGATTCTGCCCACGAGTCACCACCACGTTAAGATAGGTAACTCAAACCACTCAAACTCAGAAACTCACTTCACTTTTTATTTTTATATTGCACCACGCCACGACACGATTTGAATTGAACTTGACTGCTGTCACTTTGACAACCAATAGCAAAGTGCTCCTTGTGAGTATAGTGTTCTGTGGCAAAGTGAGTATAAATGACTCATCTCGCTCTGATTCTCGTATATAAAATGAGATGGCACGCTTAGCAACAGTCAGTGACGTATTTGTGCTGGCTTTTGAATGCGTTCAATTTACACTTTGTAGGTTGATCAGGCCGTATGTATTGTCCCTGTTATTATTAAATCAAAGAGTACCTTGTTACATACTAGTAAATACTGTTGGGTAATTTTGCGACAAATTTCAAACAGTGGAAATTTTTCTGGAATAATTCCCGAATAATTGGAAAAATGTGATCGAATATCGAAAATTGAAAGCTCATATTATGTCCTAGATTTAGAAATACCTTTTGAAGTTTTATTTAGAGTGGTTTATAAAAAAAACTTGTATGGCTAAAAGCCACTTATAGAAAAAAGAGATTGAAAGTGATTTTACAACCTCTAAAATGGCTCCATCGTTTTCGTTAAGTAACTTCATTTTTTTAATTTTTTAATTCAAATTAAAGGAAAAATATTATTTTTTCTGAAAAATATTATTTTTTCAAAATGGAAATTTTTCCATGACCCACAAGACTAGTAGTAAATTCTAAGAGGATGGAAGAAAAAAATAAAGGAAAGTAAATTACTTCGAAATTATATTTTTCCAATTTTTCGGGAATTTTCTGAAAAAAATTCCACTAATTGGAGCTATTCGGTAAATTACCCAACAGTAGTAATCTGACAAACTACAAAGTTGATTATCGACTGACTTTTTTTGACAAATTAATTTGTTGTACCTTGTGTATCACACTTGTTGTGAGCATGGCTTAGTATATAGCTATTTCATTCTCCAACTGTAAGGATACTTGCGATGAACAGAGATAAAGCGATAGGTTTACTTCCGCCTATAGTCAGCTGTGCATGTTTTGTTATGTATATGTCTATAAATATATACAGTACGCGTTTATCTACGAACTACTTTACACAATTTACTACATTCTTGTCTATTTTTATATTGTTTTATCACTAAAAATACAGTAAAATTACAGTCATGCTTGCTCTTTTTGTTTGCAAATGCTTAAATGTAACTCTAGAAAGTGATAAAGTTGGAGATGAATTGGACATCGCTAAATTGGAGCTAACACCGACGGAACAAAGGGATATTTTTTTCAGCGAGGTATGATGCCGTGGGTAAACAAACTGACCTTGACTTTTACGGAGAGTTGTTGTTTCTATTAAAAATAAGGGAATCTATGTGTTTTGGACGTATTACATTTATGATATAATCGGCTAGGGTGGGTATGTACATAACATTTCAATGCGGCGTTGTGTATCGCCTTATTTACGTTCTTGATATAAAGGTTATTTTTGTACTCAACTAGTTGTACATGCGGCTTGTGTTCTGGTAACTATGCTATGTCTTGATCTATGTATGAGTATCTACTGTCTTTTGTTACTTTTTGACAAACTCATTGAAAATAGTTTTGCAAACTTTCTAACAATTAAAAAAGTACCAAACTTATATTCTGACATGATTCTGACCCATTTTTTATGTCTAATTCATTTGTTACAAAAACTATCTACAAACTATAAATCAGGTCACCATACATATTATATGGTAATTAAGTAAGTACCTAAAAATCTAAACATAATAATTTACACCTATAGTGTTACCAGTCTTACTACAAAATGCTTTCTGATACTCAAACAAAAACTCCTAATAATTCCAGAACTTGGTATCATGCTCAAACCATGGGCTGAAAATCCATGTGACCCAGCCAGCTCTGATCAGCCAGAAAATAGTAGGCAGGTGTCAGATTAATTCCTGCCTTGCTTGTGGCCAAACTACCCATGCATTACTTAATGATAGGCCCAATATTGTGCTTATCCCCAAGACTCTTCTGGTAAGTTTTTAAGTTTTTTTTTTATCATTATTTAGTAGAAAACTTAATAATAATTATTCAGTTAACAACAGCTATAATTACATTTGCAGTATACAATCCATATTCATTTAATAATTAAAACATACCTTCATCAATTCTTTACTTTTTAATTTAAAGCTAACTTATTGAACTTAACTGCCTAATACTGATATTGTTTATGTGAAATTGTTTACAAAACAGGTGGCAGAATGACTAATTCATTATCGATTGTGTTATTATTTGAAACATGTCTGTAAATATCAAAGTGATTATTTACTTTTCACATGTATCTTAGCAACTTAATAATAGTCATTCTCAAAAAATTCCAGACATCCTTAGAGCGTATAAACAGCTTGAAGAAATCCAAAAACTTCTCACCGGTCTTCAATCTTCTAGTGCCTGAAGTAACAAATGATGTTGAGATGAAAGAGAATGTGGATACAAACAATTTGATCATGTCAAATGACAAAAAAGACTGGATGCCAACACATCAAGTGATTGGCACTCTTAGCAAGCAACTCAGCCAGACCTTGCAGTCTCAGCTGGAGGCTGTAGAAGAAACAGTTAGACAATTCAGAGACCAGAAATATGCAGAATTTGAAGCCTACAAAGAAAGAGCTCATAGGGATCATAAGATTTTAGCTAGGTAATCTTTTACATTATTTAGGAAATGAAACTATTTTTCCGGATTTAAATCGTGTATATTTGTATTTTCAAACAAACTGACATTTCAGGCCCTTTACAGGTCCCATGGTCACGGTTTCAAATTATTATTTCTGCTTTTTCTCAGATAAAGTGGTTTCATCTTTCATATACATCTAGTAAAAAGCTTTGGATATTTATCCTGTTTGAGTTGTATAAAACACTTCAAACCTCTGTTTCAGATAAGTCTGTAAATAGTGTATTTTCACCTGGTATTAATAAGTTAATACCAGGTGAAAATATCTTAAAAACTCATCTTGTGTCATATACATAATATATTCGTGCAACATGTATGCACAAAACCTACTTTTAAATCAATTTTTTATCAATGATTGATTAGTAAATGGAAAATTGTTTGCAAGTACATTACCTAAAAGAAAATGATAGTGAAGTATTTTCATTATCAATAACTTTGTTTTCAGTAACAAGTAAACAATGTGTCAATAAATATCTTTTGCAATCATAAACAATAATCACAATTTACTTAACTACCAAAAATACATATATACCTAATACACAAATATGCCTATTTAACATACATTACTTGATAATCAGAAAGATGCATGCTTAATATAAACATGTAAGTATGCATAATATAAACAAAAATTGCATTTATAGTAAACTAGGTTAGCATTGTAACATAGAAACATGGTCATTACAGTATCGTAAGTAAAGCTCGCCGTAGCTCAGAGAGTGACAGCTGGCGGGTGGATACGAGTCTGGACAATGGCCCACCTTCACCGCAACTACCTCCACTACAGAGACGAAGACTGTCCTCCTTCAAAGATGCCAAAAAAATGTCAAATGTGGTGAAAGTCAGTTTACACTCTTGTTGATTGTTTATTTTTTCGTTGTTTTAAACTATTGAAACAATTTGTCTCAGCGAAATGTAAACTGCTATTTGATACAGACGCAATATGAGCATTTTTATTAAATGATGATTTTTCTTTTTCAGTTTTAAAATCTTAAAATCTTACAATTTTAAAATTTACATTTAAAATCTAAAAATAAACTTTTTCCCAACCCGTGTTGGGCCAGCATCTTAGACAATGAATTCAGTTTCTTTTGGAGGCTCAAGTGCAGTAGTCTTGCATGGGTTGATCATCATAGTGATGTATACAATAACAGAACTTCTTATCTTACAGCTGAACAAAAATTTTCCACCAGAAGAGGATTCCTTAGAAGCAGAAGATATTTTTGACTTAGAAGGAACTGATTCTCACCACAATATGGTGTCTGACCAGGATGATTATGATTCTGATCGTAAGTGCTGATAATAATATTATTTCTATCTGGATCGGTGTAATATGTTTAGAGGACCACCTTAAAGAATTTAGTTTACACTTTTTCCAATTTTTAAGTTTATAGAGTGTTATGATGTGTTACCACCATGATATTCAATTATTTTTTGTAAAATTACTCCACTAGTTTGTTATAATTTTTTAATAACGCACACACTCAACATAGTTCCGGACTAGGAAAACCCTGTGTCGTGGGTGCCATGGACACACACATAGACAACCACAAATTACACCCAAACTCACGAGAGAAATAAATGTAGGCCACACAAATATTTCTCCCAGCCCGGGTATCCAACCTGGGGACCTCTGAGTGGCAGTCCGGTATCAAAGTCAAAGTCAAAGTCAAAGATTATTTATTCCATAGGTAAAATAAATTTACACTTGAAAACGTCACATTTAAGCTGCTGCTCGTTCACTACGCTGACCTCCCTGAGAAGAACGAGCAAGAAACTCTAGGGATTGCTCTTTTCAAATAAACTTAAATGCTATGGAATACACTTTGAATCAAATTTGTGTGGATTCTGGAGCCATGTCGTCTTTCCATACAACTTTATCTAACACGTAGTCTTCAATTTTGTAATATGATTTTTCGATCAAAATATTTTTAATGTAGTTTTTAAACTTAGGAAATGATAAACTTAATATATGCTCCGGAATCTTATTGTAAAAACGTATACAGTTCCCCATAAAAGAGTTGTTTACCTTGGTTAAACGAAATCGTGGTACCATGAGTTTGGACTTAGCTCTAAGGTTAATATTATGGATATCTTCTTTCTTATTGAAATTATGTATATTTTTACGGGCATATAAAATGTTTCAGTAAATGTACTGCGATGCCACAGTCATGATACCAGTCTCCTTAAACTTTTCTCTGAGAGATACCCGAGAGCCTAGACGGTACACAGAACGAATCGCTCGTTTTTGCAATACAAATATGGTTTGAATATCTGCCGCTTTACCCCACATGAGCATCCCGTAGGACATTATACTATGGAAGTAACTAAAGTAAACTAGTCTAGCAGTACTAACATCGGTAAGCTCACGTATTCTGCGGACTGCGTATGCAGCGGAGCTTAATCTGCTGGCCAGGGACGATATATGTGGAAACCACTGAAGTTTACTATCTAAGGTCACTCCCAAGAAAACTGCTTTATTAACAAGGTCTAACTTTTCTCCGTTTATTTCTATGCTTGGACTAGTCGATTTTACGTTAGATAATTCAAATTTAACACATTTTGTCTTCTTGGCATTAAGCAATAAATTATTAGCATTAAACCAATAAACTACCTTAGAGAGGGTATCATTAATACGGTCATGGTTAATGTCATGTCTGTCTGTTTTAAAAATCAAGGATGTGTCATCAGCAAACAACACTATTTCGCAATGGTCCTTAACAAAGAATGGCAGATCATTAATATAAATCAGAAATAAGAAAGGTCCAAGTATTGAGCCCTGCGGAACACCCATTTTTACTGGAGAACCCAAAGAAGTTACTCCATTTATGTCTACTTTCTGAATTCTACCGTTGAGATATGACGAGACAAGTTTCGACGCCTTGCCATTTACACCGCAATGTTCCAGCTTCCTAATAAGAGTATTATGATCAACGCAATCAAATGCCTTTGAGAGGTCACAGAAAACACCAATAGCGTTCTGGGACCTTTCCCAAGCATCAAAGATGTGTTTTAGTAACGCTACCCCCGCATCGCTAGTCGATCTACCACTAGTAAACCCGTATTGTTCACTATGAAAAATATGATTCCTACCGAAAAAGGACAGTAATTGAGTTAGCATAACCTTTTCGAATATTTTACTTAAAGCTGGTAAAATTGAAATGGGCCTATAGTTGCTAGAAATGGGCCTATAGTATGGTAACCGTTCGGCTACGGAGGCAGTATAATTTATTAATACAAAGATGGAACACTAAGAAAAACTCCTTTGATCCAACGGGATTCGAACCAGCGCCTTCAAGCATACCGTGTGAGACCGTATACGGTTCGGAGAGTGTCTGTTTCTCCTATAATTATTAAAAGATAGAAACATATTGTAGGTCATCCTTTCTGCACTAAATAAATTGAGTTTATATACTTAGTGTATTTTTAAATGGGACAGTATGGGGAAATCCGAAACCATAGATGATACAAGGGAATTGTCTTAGGAACCATTAAGTTTTTTTGTAAATACAATTTTGGCATAATCAATTTTTTGGTCAAGCGTGTTGTATGAATAAAATTGATCAAAATTTTTATAGTGTTGATTGAGACTCAGTTTCATGTAAGGATCATTTCATTGTATAAGACGAAAATAATCATGACAGCAGAAGTTGGTCAAATTTCATAAATTGTTTTTCAAAGAAAATGAATAAAATTGTAAATTTTTTTTATTGCTGATAGTCTCGACTTCTTGTAAGAATGATTTCATAGTATGGAACGAAAAAATCGGAACATAAGATAAGACAGAAATAAGTCAAATTTAATAATATTATTTTTAATAAAAAATTAATTAAATTGACTATTTTTTTTAATGCTGATAGTCTAAGGGTCGTATTCTAAAACTATACTCAATGCTCAAGTCAGGATTTGAGTATGGTTTAAAGCACTCGAAATCATACTCAAGTGCCTGCCATTAGGGTCGTATTTCCGGTGCTTGTGTTTCCATAGCAATCCTGACTTGAGCATTGAGTAGCTAGAACTCTACTCAGGACTTGAGTATTGCAGTGAGCACTGAAAATCATACTCAAGCCCTTGCCATTAGAGTCGTATTTCCAGTGCTTGAAATCATACTCAAGTCTGCTCAAGTCCTGACTTGAGCATTGAGTAGAGTTCTGGAATACGACCCTTAGTTTCTTATAAGGTTTATTTTATTGTATTGGAAGAAAAGAATCGAGACAGCAGAAATTGGTGAAATTTAATAAATAAATTTTGTATGAAAAATTTTTTTTTATTAAATTTTACCAACTTCTGCTGTCCCGAGTTTTTTCGTCTCATACAATGAAATAATCCCTTCATGAAAGCACTAAAAAAAATGTTATCTATTTTATTCGTTTTCATGGCAAAAAGAAATTCCTTTGGCATCATGACTTATTTTATATGGACGTCGGGTCCGCGCTAAAAAGTGTCCGAACTTATAGGGCGTTAAAATCGTATACAGAGCGTCATATGTTTGGCATAGTAAATTATTTTCACAAAAAATATTTAATGGTTCTTTAAACAGTTTACCTGTATAGATTTTAAGACTTTCGTGGTTATTCACTAAATGATTATCACTAATTTCGAGTTTCTTACCACTGTGTGACTTCTCTTTATTTTCCCGATATTTCGGAACGGTTGCACGCTCCATAGTCACGGGTTGAACCCGTGGTAAGAAACCTGAAATTAGTGATAATCATTTAGTTTACCTGTATCTTGTATGGTTTCGGTTTTCTCCATATTGTCCGATTTAAAAGGAAAACCTCTGTATATATATCTTTATGTTTTGTAGAAGGCAGCAACGACGAAGGCATCCACATCTCACGATCTCGGGGCGGCGCCAAAGCAGCGGCAAATGTCGCGTGCTCGCTACCCATTAACATGCCTAACTTCCCTAACGAACAGCGATACGAACACAGAGAACTAGATGATGACGTAAGTAAAACTTGAGATACTTTACTTTTTATAGTCGTAGAACATCATTGCAATTTTGGGTAATAATTACCTTACAATTAAATATTGTTATAAAATATTATTTCAAAATAGCACGACTTTTAACTTTTTGTAATGTGCCGACCATTTTCGCTGATAAATAAAATATCCTTCGTAAGCAAAGAGCGTCTCAGCGCAAACGACATCTAGAGCACATGAGTGGGTGTCCCCAATGCCGGGGCGATGGATGCTGTACTCCACAGTCTCTCTTTTTTGAAGATGGAGTAAAATAACATTTGCAGAGTTTTCGTAAAATTTTAAATAGTCGTGTAGTTGTTGTCGATAGATTGTGAAAATATGTAAAAATTTGCTAAAAATGTCTGAATTGTGAATGTTACGACGTTCTAATGATTACTACGTTTTAATGATTAATATAATTGCGTTATTGTATTCTTTATTCTTATTTTGCCTATTGTTCTATTAGTATCAAAATCAATTTTTAGTCATACACATTGTAATAACGACAGGCGGATTTGATTATGCATATTAAATTTAAATGAAAAGCTTTAAAAAATGTCTCCTATTATTATTTTTATACATTAATTGCTAAATTTAGTGTATGTATGTGTGAACTTTCAAAAATTTACAAATCAAACGAACCTGTGCCCAGCAGTTAGACGAATAATTGGCCAATGAGAGTCAAATGAAACAAGTTCGGCTATTTATTTCATAAGCGTAACCAACATTCAGGCGATATAATAGTAGGTATTGTGACATTTGAGATATGAAGTTTTTTTTATAAATATAAGTGCACATTTGACCTTCATCTCACCTGATGGAAAGTGACGATGAGTTTGACGAAGGAGCATGCACACCTAAATAATGCCTATCCACTCTCGCCTTGAAAAGGCCCAAGTTATATCGTTCAGGGAACAAGTCTGCAGGCAGGGAATTCCACTCCATAGCCGTTCGCCACATAAACGTGGAAGCGTAACGCTTCGTGCGAATCTTTGGAATATCCGCAATATGGGGGTGGAACCCAAGCGTACGCCTAGTCGTACTAGTAGTAGAGGTGATGGAAAGGGGAAGGCGGAACTAAATCGTGTAAAGCCATCGCACACTCTTCGTGATATATCCTGCAAAATACCGACAAGCAGGCAACTTTACGGCGGTGTTCAAGGCTTTGCAGCTTCGCCTCCACTAATTCCGAGTCACCAATAAGCCTCTTGGCACAATTGTCAATTGAATCCAAAGTGGCCAGTTGCTATGTAGCAGAGCCATTCCAAAGGTGGCAGCAGTACTCCATGCACGACCGGACTTGTACTTGGTACAGCTGAAGCAACTGTCCCGGTGTAAAGTAATGCCTCACCCCGGAAAGGATGCCAAGCTTCCTTGCTGCATTTTTGGCCATGGATTCAATGTATCTGCCGAAGTTCAAATTGGACGACAGATCCATTCTAAGTAGCTGGAGGCAGTCGGCTATCAGTATGGATATATCACGAAAAGTCGGAGTCAGCTCGAAGCCACTCCATTTTGTGGAGAATAGACACGCCTGAGTTTTGGTAGCGTTAAATTTGACAAGATTGGCATCGCCCCAATCGGAGACTGCCTGGAGTGTCAAATTCAAACGGCTAACCATGGACTCTCGACAAGACTGGATTTCCTCTCGACTGACCCTTGCATTGGTCAAGTACCTATCTACAACTGTGCTGTCATCAGCATACGCAAAGGTACCTGGAATGAACATATCATTAATATGCACCAGAAAAAGAGTTGCAAACAGTACGGAACGAAGTGTACCCTTCTAAGACCACTCGAATCGAACGTTCACTCAAGAAATCCGAGATCCAATTGCAAGGGTCAATGGGAAGCCCATAAGAGGGAAGCTTACTTAAAGGGCTTGCGTGTCAGACCCTGTCAAAGGCTTTAGAAATGTCGAAAGACACTGTAAGTGCTTCGCCTTGCTTTTCTATAGTTTCTAGAGATGTGGTGATATAAAATCGAATGGAAAAAAAAATCTATTTAAACATCTCATCGGGATTATTTGCAAGATTTAGAGACAATATTATAAGAACAAATAATAAACAAACTAAAAAGGATTGAATTATTATGTTATTAGGTTACTAAGAAATTACAGCTTGTGAATGATGAGGTTTCAACTAGGAATCACCCACAAAGTCGACTGACTCATAACGGAGACTATGTCTGTCTATAGATAGGATCCCTGACTACTTCAATGATTTATTTTCTCACAATTACATTCACACTTTGTCATTTTTGAGAAGGTGCGTACGTTAATGTGATGTTCCCCAGTACAGCCTTCCAACTGTCACTCGTGACTTGTTAGAGAGGGTAGTGGGGGAATGTGGCATACATCAGAAACGCTGGACATATAATATATCTCTATTAATATATGTTTTAATGTTTGTCTGGCCAGTGAATAGAGATGTATATCTCCAGTCATTGCTTTAATAAATGAAACGTTTACGGAAGGCATGTTCAGTGTTCAAGGGGATGGGAGATGTGACCCACGTTGAAAGTCACGGACCGATAACCATAGTTCCGAATATATCAAAAATAACCGAATCCATCATGTCAACAAGTATTATGGAACATTTTGAAATGAACGACTTGTTATCAGACAGACAATATGCTTACAGGAAAGTTAAATCCATCGTAGTTGCAGCACAAAATATAGTAGATTCTATTATTACCAGTATAGACGATAAGTCTAAAACTGCAGGCATTTTTGCGACCTTACAAAGGTGTTCGATGGGATTTGGAATTACTTATTAATTAAAATATTTGCTGTGCGTCAACGGAGTAGCTCACAACTTATTAAATTCTTTTTTATCAAACAGAAGGCAAACGTTCAGGTCAGTACAAACGGTACAAGAAACAGGTCAGCTGATGGGGACGTCACCATTGGCATCCCACAAGGATCGGCCTTAGGTAACACACTATTCCTAGCATTCATCAACGATCTGCCTACTTTATATCAGGGAAGCTGGTGGTTCTATTTGCGGACGATACATCCGTTGTAGTGTGTGCTAAAAACTATAAGGAGTTGGAAGAAAAAATAAACTATACGTACAAGCAACTTTGTGAGTGGTTCTCTGCGAATGGACTTATTCTTAACACATCGAAGTCGAATCTTATGTTGTTCTCAGGAAGAAATTCTATAATATGGGCAATTACCACCTCTACAGTGTGCACCTTGTGCAACATTTTTAAATTCTTGCGTTTCACGTTAGACTTAAATTAAAATTGGAAATCACATATACAGTCTCTGCGTGAAAAACTTGGGCGTGCTACATACGCACTAAGGTAACTGCGTCCTCTTGTTTCAAATGTGGTATTGAAGCAGACGTACGTTGCATATTTTCAGTCGTTCATGTCATACGACATCGCACTGTGGGGTAAGTCTACTGATTCGATAGGGTATTTATTCTTCAAAAACGTGCACCAAGAACTATAAGGAATAAAAAAAGATCAGTCCTGCAGAAACCTTTAAAAAAAATATCATTTAATGACGACGTACTCACAATACATCTATGACATAATAGTTTATGCGCGTCAAAGTCGTCGCGTGAGCACTTACCTACGGACGGAAGCCACTCGTTGCGAAACGCGGGAAAACTAAAATCCGTTGCCCACCGTACCGAACTCACGACGAGAAATCCTCGGGTAATTGGCCTCCAATTGTACGAACATCTACCCACAGACAAGACAAGTGTTGCAAGAAATATTGTTTGTTTTTAGTATATTACAACAAATTTACTGTTTCTTTTTGTAACTTAGTTGAGAGATTAGTTAAAAATAGTATGCATACAACGTAAAAATTTGAAATGACGCAATGCAAAAAAATTATGTCAAATGGACTATAGTCGATGTAATATTTATCGACTGCATTCACTTGCACGCGGGCAGCACTTTTGCGCAATGAACTGCCATTTTACTCCGTCTTTAAAAAAGACAGACTATAACCTACTGAATATATAAATTGTTTTTACACTAGACAAATATTATTAAAAAAAAAATCGTTTATTACAAAAATATACATTTGGCTACAAATTTGAAGCCCGCCAAACTGCGGAGTATTTATTGAAAATGTCTGAAATAAATAATCATTACTATATAATAAAAGTTTTTCTTTACAGGAGGAGCCGCAAGACATAGCCGCTAGCATTAAAGCGCTAGCACGCTCGGTGCACGGTGACCAGTTTGAGCTGCCGCGCCCACGCTTCTCCACGCAAATCTAGTATGGTGCCAACAGAAACTACGCCCAACAGAAGTTATGCACTATCGACTGGTTATCGGTGATTGTATTGTGAGATAGTATTAGTGTGTGATTGATTACACACGACGTGATCAGCGAGTTAAGTAATTCATAGCCGAAGTGGTGCTATGAAGCAACTTGTCGGGTCCCCACAGACTATCACGTCGATAGTCGATGCCTATATCTGAAGATCTGCCATGTATATTGTCAGCGAGAAATCACGTAATCGATGAATAGTCGACAGTGCGCTTGCTCTTAAGGACAAGTCCTGCTCCTCAAAATTACCTCGAGGTACCTTATTCGCGGTGTGCATTGTGAATGATTTGGTATGTGAACAGTGGAACAAGCTACATGGTGCTCTCAACTAGTGATTGCAGTGACCCTAAGTTCCCAACAGATTTCTAGCGGCAGCAGACATTAGTCATTCATATGGACAGATACTCAATACAAACAACATGTGACATATTTTTGTTTTGTGTATGGTTTTTGTTTAAGTACAAAGTCAGATTTTTAATGATTTTAATGTAACCTAATAGTTATGGTAACAAATGTAATTGAAATAGAGATTTAGTATAAGCGAGAGGCTACGAGGAGTTGTTATTAGCAGACTTATAAAATTTGAACCAAAAAACTGTTGTTCTACAGATTGATTTGACTGATATTTGATTTAAATGATTTATCGTCGCTGACATTGCACCAAAGATGCCAGATATTAATGAATCAGAATTATTAATTGTTATGATATATATTAATAATATCAATAAATATATGTTGAATATGTTTATTGATAATATTAATGAAAGTGTACGTTTAAACTGTGTCCCGTGGCTGTATATTTGTTGTATTCAGTATAGTCATTAGATAATAGTAATCTCAGTACAGAATACTAAAAAACCGACCTCAAAAGCACGTGGAATTACGTCTATTTGCCAAGTTTTATTGAAATATCCCCTAGTTCGCCACTATACAGGATTTGACACGGGAGATAATAAAAATCGATTCTCACTACTCCAAGTATATTGCGAGAGAAAAGCGCCTTGAATTGGAGAATAGCAAAATCAACCATTAAAATAATTGCTCTTTCTAACAAAATGCAGGCGCTATTTATAAAAATGAATCTTCATGCGTGAACAGCCACCCTTAGAGGTGGATGATTTTCTTCAAAATGAAATGGGACCATTATGGAGGTACCCTCTTTCCAACAAAAAAAGAATCATGAAAATCGGTTCACAAATACCGGAGTTATCGCATAACACATACAAAAAAACATACAGTCGAATTGAGAACCTCCTCCTATTTTTGAAGTCGGTTAAATATACACATTGTTTTGCATTGCGTTTTGTTTACATTAGTATTTTGGCTTCCAATGCTTTAAAAAAAGTTTGTGATATATTGCCTTCAAGCTTCACCTTCTTAAATGTTGAGCTACAATTTTTAGTAATAATAAAAATAGCAAACTACATTGTGCAAGTATACAGCTCACACATCAGAAGCAAAGCAGCCAAGTGGCTGGAAACAACGTATGAATCTGTCATCATGTCAGTGACTTTGTTAATGTAATTTAAATAAATTTATGTCGATTATGCTAAATATAACTATGGATTGTTAACATCTAAGTCATATCCCCGTTAATAGAGACTAGAGTTTTCTATTATTTTTATCTGGTGTTACCTTAATGATAAGTGAAAAGTGTACAAAAAAATAATACTTGCATTTCTTACTAGTCTTTTAGGGTCACGTATAACTTTCTCATTGTTAAAATTATTTATCAATTTAAGATAGATTGTGTCCCACTTTTGGGCAAAGGCCTCTCCTTTGAACTTCCACAGCTGCATGTCGGGGTCAAAGTCAAAGAATCATTTACTCCATAGGTTTTACACTTGAGAAACGTCGTATTTTAAGCTACTGCTCGTTCACTAAGCTGACTTTCCTGAGAAGAACGAGCAAGAAATTCTAGGGATTGCTCTTTTCAAATAAACTTAAATGCTATGGAATAACACTTTGAATCAATTTTGTGTGGAATCTAGACCCGTGTCGTCTTTCCATACATCGAGTAGTCTTCAATTTAGTAATGTGATTTTTTATTTAAAATACTTTTAAACTTAGGAAATGATAATTTTAATATATGCTCCGGAATCTTGTTGTATTATGTATATGTATACAGTTCCCCATAAAAAAGGAAAAAAGTAAATCCACCATCTCCTTTTTGATCTGCCTCGTCGTCGCTGGCCTTTTTTCAGCAGTGGGACACAATAGGCTTATTAAAAAAAGACAGATTAGGAATTTAGTCACTGAATATTGAATTTGTCGTACAAAGCGTACATAAAAATTTGGCAATTACTTTCGACGGGGACACAAGTTTGAGATCGTTTTATTTTTATACACGATATTTTGAATGAGCGTCCATGTGAAGGAGAAGATGAAGGAGTAGGCGTCGGGAAGTGATGTAATTCTTTTTATTATGAAATCTGTTTCATAGATTTAGTGTTATTAGTAAGTTAGTTTATTCAAAACAGATATTGACTCGCATCACATGCAGTCTGCAGTTTAAGTGTCTTCCAGTAGAACTGTCCATTCATTAGTACCGGGTGACTTAATTGTGATGTCGATTTCAGTCAGTTGTTTTAATTAAGCTATAACTAATAATTGTTTCATTGGTGTGACGATATTGAGAAGGACTTGATTGTATGAATATTAGTGATTATGTAATAAACATTGACCGTAAAAATCTGATTTTATTATTTCATTATTTTTGAGTATTATATTTAGTATTTATTACTTTCGTAGTTAACGTTCTTATCTTTTTGCTGAAGTGAACGAATAGTTACAGGAAATAAAAGACGAGTGACAATATGATATAATATATCTTTGACTAATCACGCAATCTCCCTTTACAAATTTTGATATAGATTAACCTTATTCATCAAGCTGTATCATAGTCTAAGAGCTGTATATACTAAGGCATGTCAGTTCGGTTACCATGGTTACCGCGTCACAACAAGCCTGAGACTTCGAATTTATTTCTACACACCTTTTAATTTGTAACGCGTAATAATCGTAACAAAATGTTAAGTTCACGTTATTACAGTGCATCTCGTTTAGGAACGAATGCAAAACCACGGACTGCCATGGTCATAGATGACGAAGATGATCTTTACACAGGGTTTAATGAAGTCGCACCTGCTTTAGATACAAGGAACTTGAGGGAAGACCAGGAGTTTCAAGAAACTTTGAGAACTGCTGGCATTGGAAGGAAAGTGCCTAGCCGTACGGGTACAGGGGTAAGGGTTTTTGTTGTATGGATCTGTATAATAATAATAACACACACTCAACATAGCCCCGCACTAGGGAAACCTTGTGTCGCGGGTGCCATGGACACACGTAGATAAACACAAATTACACGCAAACTCAAGAGAGATAAATGTAGGCCATACAAATATTTCTCCCGGTCCGGGAATCGAACTTGGGACCTATGATATATCGTATCATATCATATAATTACATTAATATGATATTATAATGTCTATTATATATAGTATATTATAATGGCCAACTGCAAGGTCATACCAGGTGAGAGTCTCACTGCGCAACACCGTCTTCTTGTCATGGATCTCTGCGTAAAGCCGGCCGACAAGCCCGCTGAGCGCTGCCTACGCCAAATCAAATGGTGGCGGCTTGATAGTACCACGACCCAGGAGTTCATCTCAGCGATCGGCGATAAATGCGCCGACACTGAAGGTGATCTAGTCCAGAACCACTGGGACAACATTCAGGCTGCCATATCTGAGGCGGCGAAAGCGGTGCTGGGCTTGTCCAAGGGTGGTCGCAAATGTGACAAAGAAACTTGGTGGTGGAACGACACAGTCCAGAGGGAGGTGAGGGTGAAGAAAGCCCTCTTCAAAACGTGGCAAGCGTCCGAATCTTCTGAAGACCGCGACGCATATAGGGATGCCAAACGTGCCGCTAAGAAAGCTGTAGCCAGAGCCAGACGGGACCAATTGCAGCCGTTGTATGACAAGTTGGAATCGTCTGAGGGGCAGAAGCTTATCTTTAAGCTGGCACGTTCGAGGGTCTTAGCGGCACAAGATATTTCCAAGTGTCGCTGCATTAAAGACCCTCATGGCAACCTTATATGCGAGGTCGACGCGGTGAAGGAGAGACGGCGCTCATATTTCCACGAGCTGCTGAATCAGCAGCACAGAGAGGTGCAGCCACCGGTCCTCCCTCCGAATCAGGGACTAGTGCGACCGGTAACGCCTGAGGAAGTCCACTTGGCTCTTCGTCGCATGAAGAATCGGAAAGCTGTCGGATCCGATGGGGTTCCCATCGAGGCCTGGAAGGCAATGGGTCCCCGTGGTGTGGGCATCCTTACCGGCCTCTTTAATCGCGTGCTCCTCACCGGTAAAATCCCTAACCAATGGAGACTGAGTATTATCACTCCAGTCTTCAAAGGGAAGGGATCGGTGCAGGAGTGTGGCGATTATCGGGGCATAAAGGTCATGTCCCACACCATGAAGCTCTTCGAGCGTATAATAGACTCTCGGATCCGACAGGAGAGTGCTGTCTCGGAGGGTCAATATGGGTTTCGGCCTGGTCTTGGGACCATGGATCCTGTTTTTGCCCTAAGGGTCATCATGGAGAAATACAGATTGAAGAATACGCCTCTGCATTTCATGTTTCTTGACATGCAGAAGGCCTTCGACTGTATCCCCCGTGTAATGATCTGGTGGGCACTGAGATCTAAAGGGGTACCAGAAGCTTATATTGACATCATCCGAGACATGTACCGCGATTCCGATTCCATGGTTAGGACTGCTGTTGGTGACACTAAACCCTTCCCTGTCACAGTCGGAGTTCACCAGGGCTCAGTTCTCAGTCCCTATCTGTTCAGCGTGATATTAGACGAGGTCTCAAGCTCCATCCGAGACACGCATGAGCAACCCCCGTGGATGCTTATGTACGCTGACGATATCGCGCTGGCGGATGCGGATAGAGGGAGACTGGTACAACGAGTGAATGTGTGGAAGGAGTCGCTTGAGAACGGCGGTCTGAGACTAAATGTGGCGAAGACTGAGTACATGGTCTGCAACGCTACAGATCCCCTACCCGTACGCATAGGCGAAGACGCGGTCGAGCCTACGGGCCAGTTTAAATACTTGGGATCTGTACTTAGCGCGTCCGGAGACATCGACTGCGACGTCAGAGCCCGAATCGCAGCCGCTTGGGCAAAGTGGCGTGAGGTGACTGGTGTAATTTGTGACCCCAAGATGCCGGTTAGGCTGAAAGGACAGGTCTATAAATCCATCATTAGACCTGTCCGTTTATATGGCAGTGAAACGTGGCCCGTACTTGAGCGTCATAAGCAGGAGCTGCGTGTCACGGAAATGAAGATGCTGCGTTGGATGTGTGGAGTTTCACGGAAAGACCGTGTCAGAAACTCCCGCATCCGCGGCAGCCTTCATGTCCGTGACATTGCAGATAAACTGCAAGAAAGCCGCCTACGTTGGTACGGCCACATCTTACGGAAACCGGCATGCTACGTGGGAAACAAATGTCTGGCTATGCCACCTCCGCCGGGCCCCGGTAGAAGGGGCAGACCCAAGAAGTGCTGGCTTGACGTCGCCAAGGGTGATATGCGTACCAATGGTCTCACCACTAAGGATGCCGAAGACCGTGCAAAGTGGAGGAGAAAAAGTAGGAAAGCGGACCCCGGGCTCCGCAGCAACCCTGCTGAGGACGCAACCGGGACAACGCTCAGGTGAGAGAGAGAGATATTATAATGTGTATGAAGTATAAAGGTCAAATAGATATAATATTACGTATTGGGACTTGAACTACTCTGATGGATATAATTGTAATGAATGGTGATATATAAAATTTTGTCTAAAATAGATTTTCAAATCGCAAAATAAACATGCACTTACCCATAAATGGCAACACAATGCACTGTCTGTTCTAGAAGTTATAAGAGACAAATAGCATGTGTTATACAATAACAATAGCAGGAATAAAAAAAAATTACAATTTCTGTGTAATAATTATATTTTAATTTTCCGTAAAACTCGATTGACTACTTAGGAGTTTAGGAAATAGTATTGTACATAATATTTATTTTTTAATCTCTTTATATCATGAGCAAGCAAATTACACACCGATCCCCGTCGAAAAACTTCAGGGCTTGCTCTTTTTGGTTTTGTAAATATTATATATAGGTATATATAATATTTGAATAGGAACACTGCGATTGCTATCTCTACTTTACGTTAGCATTGTAATGTTCACACTGAAGCAAAGTGCTGTTTTCCTTAACAGATGTTACGACTAGGCACAGTGAGCATGCCGCGTAGTTCAAGGGCTGGTACTGCAGCCGCCAGACCCGTCACTGCAGTACGCGCTGCGGGCTATACTTCCGCTTCGCGTGATACTCCTAGTCGAGAAGAAAAGAAGGAAGACAGGTAACTCAATAAACCTCAAAAACTAGTCAACTCATTTAACGTGTTTAAAGGCCGTCGAGTAATGTGCCTTTTGTTAGAAATTCTGAAAAGATCAAAACGTATTTTTGTTTGCAGTGTTGAAGACCGCGTGAAGCAGATGGAGTTACGTATTATGGCGTTAGTGGAGGAATCTTGCATGTTGAGCTCTCGTCCTGACCCTGACGATGACTCCAGTGCTGCCAAAAAAGAATATGACTTAGGACAAGTATTATGGCTAATTCATTTATATTTATTTATTTATTTATTGCATATCACACATGTTCGTTTGTCCTTTCAAATCCGACCAAGCACCAAGCTTATATTATTGATCGCAGTGATATCATTTATAAATGCACATTTGATTCTAGTTAGCAACACCTAATGCATACTTTCTTTAAAATATTATGTATTTTGGACCTTAAATGTAAACATGTTTTATTTCAGGCACTGGCAAAGGCACAAGAGGCGTCGACACTAGAACGACAACTTATTCGTATGCAAGAACAAGCAAATCTCGGAGACTCCCATAATTTGGATCTTACTTTTGCTGTGAGTGTGAAACAATATATAGATTGAGATATAAATACTAGTGTTGCAAGGAAGAGTATATTCGGCCAGAGGCCGAAGATTAGACTAGTCGAATATATACTTGGTTGATTTTGTTAGCGTGCACGACTAAATAGTCGTCACTTAACTACGTAATAAATATTTAGTTTACATTTGATTCGTTACACTAATTTTATGTTGTATTTTTTATTTTTCAGAAAAATAACTTATTTAATTACATTTATTTGTCTTGTAGATAAATAAGCGAATGATTGTGCATTCTTATGATAATTTACTGCATTTTTTTCTTATTTCTTATAAAATAAACAAAATAAAATAGCAACAACATTCCCACTCCCATCCCAACAATCCCATGATGATGTTGATTTGTTGCTATTTTAATTGGCTGACCATTCAGCCAACATCAACCCACTGCTGTTTATAAGGCCTTTTCTTTATTGCGCCAACTGTTACGGTCCTGCGCCATCCGCTTCCAGGGCGATCCCGCAAATCTGACGATATCGTCAGACCATCGGGCCGCCGGTGGTCTGCCCACTGCCCTTTTTTCTCCTCTTGGTCACCATTCCGTGACTGCTTTGGTCCATCGTCCGTCTTCTCGTTTAGCCAAATGTCTCGCCCATCTCCACCTTCGCCCATCTCAACCCCGTGTCGCGATTACCTACGTTATCGACCTTCGTTTTTCGTCGAATTTCGATTGGACCACAATCGCCCCTTTTTGACCGAATACCGAATAGTAACCGAATATTCTGTGCAACTCTAATAAATAAATACGTAATATTTTGTTTAATAATAAACGTAGAAGATAAAACGTGGAATGGATTCATTATAGATAGACCAACATCCGTTATCCATGACGCCAAAAGAAAAACCAAGAGGGTTCGATTAGATCCCGAAAAAGCAGGCGTGACTGTTTCTATTTAGAAATTATGTCAGATTCGCCAAGTGTACAGTTTTTAATTATGGGAGGTCGTTGCCTTAAGAAAAGGGCAAAAGTTAATCAAAGCCATATAAGGTTTCTGATATTACAGGTCCTGTGTAATTTAGCAGGACAGTATGCTGTCAACGAAATGTACACTGAAGCACTAAATACCTATCAATTACTAACAAGAAACAAACTTTTCCCTCACGCTAATAGATTGAAAGTAAGCAAATAAAATTTTAAATAATTATTCATTTGTTTATTTTTTGGAACTACTGCTGATTTATAGGCAGTTTTTGTACGGACCTAACAATGCTTTTGTTTGCAGGTTAATATGGGAAATATTTATTTCAAAATGGGAGAACACCCAAAAGCATTGAAGCTGTATAGAATGGCGCTAGATCAAACACCAACTGCTGAAAAAGATTTGAGGTAAAATCTAATTACATTAACTGCGGCAAAATGTCTTTTTAAATGTGTAACAATGCATAATCACTGTACTTCTTGTAGAATGAAAGTGATGCATAATATTGGTCTTCTCTTGGTCCGTATGGGTAAATTCCGCGACGCAGTCACAAATTTTCAGCATATCATGCAGGAACAGGGAGATTTTCAAACAGGTTCGATCCAAGTTTCAATTAATATATTACCTACCAATATTCAAAGTTTCTGCGTGCAGGAACATAACTTACATTCTTATTATTCGTGTATTACAGGCTTGCACCTTGTATTGTGTTCTGTAGCACTGAACGACGCCGAAGGAGGCAAAGCAGCTTTTCATGCGATGTTAGATGTTGATCCACCAATGCATCATCAGGACATAACTATTGATGACGTAAGTTATTTATTACTCCTATGTATATTATTTGTATAGAAAATACAGCCTTTATTGAAATACCAAAATAGTATTCTTAATCAATTGAAACAATATTTAAAATTATTGTGTTAGGAAACTGATCCTGACGGAGACTAGTGAGTTTATATATTAAGCATTGTAAGATATTATCATCGCTTATTATCAATATTTACAGGTTTTTCACACGGTTTAGCTTTTGTAAGTCATATGGCCGTGGTTAAAAACCGGTATCTAGTGATAATTGTACTAAATATCACATACCTACCTACAGGAGAACGATCCTTATGAATGCGTGTTACGGGACGTGATTCGTGCAGATCGTTTATCGCGATGGTCGCGTCGTGCGGCTGCTGATGCCGAGCGTTGCTTAGCGCTTGCCGCCGCTGCGCTGGTGAGGCCTTCTAGTCGGGATGACGAGTCTGGGTAACAACTTTTTAACGACATAATCATCATCATCAGCCTATCGCAGCTCACTGCTGGACATAGGCCTCGCCTATTGTCCGCCATTTCGCCCGGTCCTCAGCTTGTCGCGTCCATCTGCTACCAGCAGCGTTTCGCAGATCGTCACTTCATAGCTGATATTATACTGTATAGTGTTACTAGCGAAAGTTTAAAGCGTTAAACACAGAGTGCGGGTGCGGGTCGGGCTTGAGTCGGGCGCGGGTCGAGTCGGGACCGCGGCGGGTCTGATTCTGTGTATTATTTATTTATACGACGACAACACACCGAGCGCGGGCGCGGGACTAGCGCACGCGCTCGCACTCGTTGTCTTGTCGTGTGTGTGTTTAACGCTTAAAGGATGATGTGTCCATTAATGTGATAAACTTAATTTTAGGAATGCCTTAAAAAAAACAAGTTTTCTATTTTAAAATGAGAACCTGTATCTTTATTAATATATGTTTTTTAAATATATCACGAAAGCTTGCTTATATATATGAGTTTATGATTCCACCAGAGGCATGTCATGGTGCGTGGAAGCTTTAAGAGGATATTCTGGCGGCGGCGCTGGGGCCCGATTAGAGTTGGGCGGTGCCTTGGCAGCGCTGCGGGCTTTGGGTGGCGGGGCCCGTCCACCTTCCGCCGGCGGACAGAGAGCGTTGCAACGACTAAAAGCTGTGGCGCGCGCTCATCCCAATGATATCGTACTGAGGGCTGAGGCTAATGCCGATGCTGCTTTTGTTGCTTATGCGGTAAGTTTTACAGTTCTTGCATATTTATTTATTTATTTAAACACTTTATTGTACCACAAAGTAACTTTCAGATTGAATTGAATGAAAATTTTCAGAAACAATTTAAATATTTGTGTACAAAGGCGAGCTTATCCCATAAAGAGATTTCTTCCAACTAACCTTTGAAAATCTGAGAGGAAAGTTGGTTTTTGGGGTAGCACTAAAAATAGATAAGTAAAGAAATGAAATATACTATACTCAATAAATACACAGATAAATTTAATAAATCAATTGTACATACTATATATTACATTTAGTCTTGTAATCTGTATTGTTAACAAGAGTCGATGTTTTCAATGACTTGTAAAATACTTTCACATACATACTATAACGACAGAAAAAGCAAATACTACGAATCTTGTGGTATAAGTTTTAAAAAACGTGTATAACATGTAATGCGTTTATTACAGTTGGGCAATTTTACTGAAGCGAGAGCACTAAGCGAAGCGGCCGCGCGAGATGACCCGTATTCATGTGCCGCTAGAGTCACAGCAGCTCTGTCTAGCGCTGCGGCCGGTGACGCCTCCGCCTGGCAAGTCGCGGCACAGCAACTCGCTGCTGCTAGCCACCTTGATCCTGCCGATTTGGTCGCTATGCACGATCTTGGTATATTTCGTCAACTCAAACTTTGAAATACGCCTGAATACATTAAAGTAACAATTTGTTACCGTTTTAAATCGATTTCATAAAAAAGGATGTTCTCAATTTCAATGTGTTCCTTGTAAACTTCGATAATTATTTTTCTGTTGGATAGGGGATACCTTAGTAGTGAACCCATTTAAATTTCAAGACAATATTCCGCCTCCTATAGTTTATTCAACTTCACCCACTTTCCGTTAACAGATTTTAATAAAACTTGGCACATAAGTAGTTGTAAGACAGACATTTTCGAAATTCATCTATGGAAGTGAAAAGACTCCTATAAACTATTTTATCTAAATCATAAATTTCTAAATAAAGAAACGTGAAAAGTTCTATAACACGTATATGAACACACGCATTATGTTCAAAGTTATTTGTAAATTATTCATGTGACCTGCAACTTGGTAGAAATTGGTATTTGCGAGTTTGAACACAAAAACTTAGCAGCTCTTAACAATCAAATTCAAAGTCAAAGATCATTTTATTCCATAGGTAAAATAGATTTACACTTGAAAACGTCACATTTACATTACATTAAGCTACTGCTCGTTCACTACGCTGACTTCCCTGAGAAGAACGAGCAAGAAACTCTAGGGATTGCTCTTTTCAAATAAACTTAAATGCTATGGAATACACTTTGAGTCAAATTTGTGTGGATTCTGGAGCCGTGGCGTCTTTCCATACATCTTTGTCTAACACGTAGTCTTCAAGTTTGTAATATGTATTTTTAGATCAAAATATTTTTAATGTAGTTTTTAAACTTAGGAAATGATAAACTTAATATATGCTCCGGAATCTTATTGTAAAAACGTATACAGTTCCCCATAAAAGAGTCGTTTACCTTGGTTAAACGAAATCGTGGTACCATGAGTTTGGCTCTAAGGTTGGATATCTAAGGATGGATATCTTCTTTCTTATTGAAATTATGTATATTTTTACGGGCATATAAAAAATATTTGAGTAAATGTACTGTGATGCCACAGTCATGATACCAGTCTCCTTAAACTTTTCTCTGAGAGAAACCCGAGAGCCTAGATGGTACACAGAACGAATTGCTCGTTTGTGCAATACAAATACAAATATAAATATAAGTTTGAATATCTGCCGCTTTACCCCGCATGAGAATCCCGTAGGATATTATACTATGGAAGTAACTAAAGTAAACTAGTCTAGCAGTACTAACATCGGTAAGCTCACGTATGCAGCGGAGCTTAATCTGCTGGCCAGGGAAGATATATGTGGAAACCATTAAAGTTTACTATCTAAGGTCACTCCCAAGACACTGCTTTATTAACAAACTCTAACTTTTCTCCGTTTATTTCGATGCTTCAACTAGTCGATTTTACGTTAGGTAATTCAAATTTAACACATTTTGTCTTCTTGGCTTGTCATTTTGTCTTTAATTATGTATAATTATTCACTATTAACTTTTCAGCCAAAATTGTTAATAGATACAATTATTTGGCAATAACTGCCTCCGTGGCCGAACGGTTACCGTGCCGGACTGCCGCGCAGAGGTCCTGGGTTCGATTCCCGGGCCGGGAGAAATGTGTGTGTGTGTAGCCAGCGTTTATTTCTCTCGTGAGTTTGAGTGTAGAGTGTGGCCATGGCACCCGCAACACAGGTTTTTCCTAGTGCGGGGCTATGAGTGTGTTGCGTTGTTATTATTATTATATATAATTGTTATTTATTGTCTAACAATGGTTTGTTAGCACTAAGAATGCAACATTGTAAAATAAATCGTAATTCTTCTGTGCACAGCTCTAGCACTAGAAAAGAGCGCCGATGACATCTCAGTAGACGCAGCTGAGGCGCGGTGGACGCGAGTGCGCGGCGCTGCGGGCGCAGGTGCCACTTTGCGCAGTTTGGCTGCCGCGGGTCTAGCGCGGCTCGCACGTGCACATAGCCACGACCCATCCGCTACCGATCATTGGTAAATAAGAAATTATTAACGAAGGCCTATTAGAAGCCCGAAGCCAAAGGCTGAGGGTTTTAATAAATCGAGTTCTGTATTTTTTTACTTTGTAATCGTTAATTGTGCCCAGGCGATTATTCCATAAATATAAGAGATATCCAAAAACTTTAAACTGATATCGAAAGTACGTTACCCAATGAGTAAATCGACATCAATAACTTTTTAAAAATAAAACTAGGAATCTCCAAAATTTTAACATTAAACGCTCCTATACATTTAATGTAGCATTCGTAGGGAGGCTTTAGTTAGCCTACTTTAGAGGTAACAATAAATTTACAAAGAACTAACAACTAACTTTACTAAAAACTATCTTTCGATTGAACAAAAATATAATGACATAGTCAATTATTTGGTCAAGTGTAAGTTGTCCATATAAATGAATAAAATTTATCAATTTTTTTTAGTGCTGATCGACAAGTTTCAAGTAAGGATCATTTTATTTCCAAAAAAACAGCAAAAGTGGGTCAAATTTAATAAAATTTTTTTCATACAAAACCTCATTCCTTGAACTTGAACATGACCTATGTAAGGAAATATGTCGTGCTACAATTAAATAAAAAAATTTTAAAAATGTAATGGAAAGAAAAAAGGCCCGTGGATTTTATTATAGTCAAGTTAGCCACCATGTAATCGTACCATTTTCGAGCAAGTGTGATGAAAAATGTATTACGTTTATTTTATTGTATAGTTATGCTTTATTTCTTTTCCCATGGGTAAATACTGACACTAAATGAGGCTATCGGCGCAAAAGTGGTGTAAATCGCATTTAAATTATTTTTCTGCAATATTACTTTCAATTATACATACACTTTAAGTGGTACATAATTATTTTATATATGGATGCTACTTTCCTGTATAAAAAGTTAATAATAAAATATTTCATGTATGTGTTAATTATATATTTACTTGAATACACAATACAAATATAAAATAATTATTAACTTATAACTACAACACAACAACGTAACATTTAAAGTAACATTGTAGAAAAAAAAATGGGTTACCCCATTTTTCCGGTGTTAGCTTCAAATATGGTATGTACATACTGTCTAACATTGTTATATATTATGTATTATACTATTAATATTTCATGGACGTCTTTTATTGTATGACCTGTACTTTTTACATAGCGATTTTAATTCTTTCGTTGATCCTATCGATTGTAAAATAAAATAGTGAGTGTTTATTTTTTGCATTTTTAGTTGGTTCGAATCTCGGCTCAAGTAACCCTTTCAAAAATCTGTGAATGCAGTTCTTTATGTTAAGAAAAGTCAAAGGATGTTTCCTTTTAGTAAAATTAACTCTTAAGCACTTTAGAGTCGTTACAATCGCGCGTTTGGTAGTTTGTAAAGGTAGACGATTAGCGCCTGCATCTGCTAATAGTCGCCGGGTGTAACCGCTGTAAGATGGTTCCCCTCCGTATCCCATTAATTCTTACCACCCTGTATGGATTGTTTATATATGGATATATTATTTATATATATTTATGTGTGTCAATTATATATCATAATTTTTTATATACTTTGTTCTTAACTTGACATAACTTGTTATATTATGTTAATTATTCTGAACCCAACTCTCTGCTTGATCGGTAGAGAATGCCTAATGGCATTAAATCCACCTCTTGTATTGTTTTGTATGTAAATTTAAATAAATAATAAGTACTAATAGGTACTATGGAAAAAACCCAGGCTTACAATTTGGAATTCGACCACCATGAGCATCCCGCTAATCACGTTATTCGCCTGCTATGCAATTAGGCAAAACACTGGAACTTCGTAAACATCCCTTAACTGCTTCCTATGTTCTACGGCAGATTAAAGTTACGAAATTAATTTATGGAGGTATACGGTAAGAGTATGGGCTATATGCAAAGGAGGTATCTTTGTTATTTAGGTACAGCATGATCGGTGGTTGGGATGCGGGAGTGACGTGCGCACTGGCACAGCTACATAGTGAAATGGGCGATATGCAAACAGCAAAACATCATTATCAAGATGTAAGTAGATTTCGCTCATGTGCTAATTAGGGTTCAATGTATGAACTGTCGTTCTAAATTGGAAATAAAACTATTATTTCGATTTAGATCCGAAAAAATAGGTTCATTTTAAAAGTTTCCGTAATCTTGTAAAATTATAGTTTGATTACTATTAAGGAGATTTTATTACTTGATTACTAATAATATTACATTTTGATAGATTGATGATTTGAATGAGTGCTTAGAGCGATGGCTGATTGTGAACTGATGTAATGAGGATGTGTTATGGACATGGACTTTAACTTGTTAGCCTTTACAGACTGGTATGTAAACACTTTACTGTACACCAAATAAATAGTTACAATAATTAAAAATACCATAGAAAGGTTCCAGATAACATTTGAATAAATTAGAAGATCATTGGTTTCCAGATTGTCGATGATATTTAAGAATTCTTTACTATTTATATTATTTATTTATTCAAGTTTTTAATGTCCAGGTGGAAGCAGTATGGCCCTGTGAATTATCAGCTTTGGAGTGGCTGGCGCGAGAGGCGCCACCCGACGTGGCTTTGCAGTACTATCGCCGCGCCGCGCGTTTGCAGCCTAACAATGTGACGTACTCCTTAGAAATATATATTTTTTTCATGTTTAGACTTCATTTTATTAATTGTAATGTCTACCAAACAAAACATAAATGAAGGAATTTCATATACAGTCAGTAAATGTCAAATTTTGCATTTCCCCTCTTAGAGATTATTTTTATAAATGCGCATTTGACCTCTATCTCACATGATGGAAAGTGACGATAAAATCGACCCCCCGGACAATCCATCCACGGTCGAAAATTATTTACCTACTACTACTACATACAGCAAGGCGCTATCTGCACACGTGCAAATGTGTGCGTGAAGTGGCAGGGTTACCCATCACATGCTCGTACTATTACGTTACGTGGTCAGAGCGGCAACATAGCGAAAATTCTAACGCGAATCTGTTATCTATAATTCTAATATATTTAGAATCCTAATAATTATACATGTTCATTACGTATTTATATCGATATAATATATTTTTCATTAATTTACTAACTAGAATAATATTTCGAGTTCTTAGGTTTTCGCGATTGTTACACATAGGAAATGAAACTATTTTTCCGGATTTAAATCGACATTTGACACAGTCAACCGTGACCATGGGACCTGTAAAGGGCCCGAAACGTCGGTTTGTTTGAAAAAACAAATATACGCGATTTAAATCCGGAAAAATAGTTTCATTTCCTAGAATAATATTGAAGATTTATTTAAAAAATATATTAAAAGCACTTTGGACAGTTACCTTTAAAAAAGGTAACCGAAGTATTTGACATTGCGTGTCCAACTTTATCATTACCTAGTTAATAATTAGGTATATTCACTACGTGATATTTATCGGCAATACAAATTGAAAATTCGAGAACCCTTGTCTAGCTCACGAAGTTAAGGCGTCTTATTATATTGATACAATAAATCTGTATTATATATTACTCTGCACTAAAGAAAACAATAACTTAATGAGTTTCAGACATAAGTTTATTTACGTACTACATTTCATCTTTCAAAAAACGAAAGAAACTCCTCTCTTTATCCCGTTTAGATGATTATAAACAGCCGTACACAGCACAATTCACGACCGTTATAAATAGTAACTTAAAATGATGTTATATATTAACGTACAAATTTCGTAACGAATAAATGAAAACTATATTCAAATATCAAAGCCGTCTTAGCGCAAAAACGGCTCGCCGACAGCCTTGTTCTCGTTCAGTCAATGTGACCGTCAATGTGCGGGGCGTGATGTGGTATCTAAAGCCAGGGAGAGGCGTAGAGTGTCCGTTCTCATTACTTATTTGTTATCTGGCGTAACGCTTCGTGCGAATCTTTGAAATATCAGTGGAACGCTAGCATACGTTTAGTCTCCCGATTATGGAAAGAGGAAGGCGGATTTAAACTGTACAATTACAACGTACTCTTCGTGATATATCCTGTATTTTTATGCATAGTTAAAATTTTTTTCTTTTCATTAGCCTCAATGGGGCCTTTTGATGGGCAGCTGCTTACGGGCAAGTGGCCGATACCAAGACGCACTTTCGCTTTTCAAGAAGATGAACGCTCGATTCCCGGACAATGTTCAATGTAAGCATTGGTAACGAATTGTTTACATTAAATAACCAAATTTTAAGATTAATTTCAATATCTGCAAAGTTTTACGTAAATATGTACTGTATTTTACTCTTGAATGTGAAGTTTTTTAAGGGCGTTATATTAGAGCACAATAAAAATCGTTTTTGGAGTTTTACGCACAGTAATGTTAAATAATAATATAACATAAACTAATAATTCGGTTACATTGTAATATATATTGTGTTTATGTATGTATTTACATATACAAAGTTTACGTAGGTGTAACTGCCTCCGTGGCCGAACGGTTACCAAGCTGGACTGCCACGCAGAGGTCCCAGTTTCGATTCCCGGGGCAGGAGAAATATTTGTATGGCCTACATTTATTTCTCTCGTGAGTTTGGGTGTAATTTGTGGTTGTCTATGTGTGTGTCCATGGCACCCGCGACACAGGGTTTCTCTAATGCGGGGATATGTTGAGTGTGTGCGTTATTATATCATAATTATATATTTGTAATAATAAATAAAATTTGTATTATCATAATTTATATTTACATTTAAATTTTAATAAATTTAAGTATGTACAATAATTAGTCCCGCGGACTTTCTTCATCACAGCTAGGTTTAGCTGGGAGAGATCTCTTCTAACAGATGAGCTCACCGTTGTAATGTGTTTTTTAACGTATTTTCTTAGTATAATAAGGGGTTTATTAATGTTTTTTTAGGTTTAAAACTGATAGTTAAACTATGTGGAGATCAGGGATTATCAGAAACAAGTGCTTGGACGCGCGAATTGCAACGAGCGCAAGCGAGGCTCAAACAACAAGATAGAGGTACCTACATACTTAACAAATAAATTCGAAAACTACAAGGTAACATCCTTATATTATATAGGTTTACTAAATAAGGTAAGGACAATGAGCAATATGTGAAAATAGAAAGTGGCCTTCTTGTCTAGTTTCGAGTGTGCGCAGGTTTTTCAGAAAGTCCGAAACACTCCTTCATTATTTCATTGATATACCACCCATTCGCACGAAACACTTTCCATCCTATGTGTACTACTGTTTGTGTGTTTTCTAAAAATTACATTTAGGGCTATCCAACACTAGGCAGTTATATTGGGCACACTGAGTGCTGAATTTGTGCACTGTTGGCTTTGCACAACTATTTGAATTGCGAATGGTGTATTTTTTAAACATAGGATCCTAAATAGATTTATAAAAGAAAAAATGGGGGGAAATAGTAAGCTTAAATATATTTTTTTAATAGACATTTATAATTGTCGGGCGTAGTAAATTTTCTATGATTTTAAGAGTGCTCTTTCTCTTCAAAATTATACCGCTAGGCTTCGAAATGCTTTTAGGAGGGCAATAAACACCTCATTTATGTAGGTACTCTGGTGATGGTATGCGGAATTTGAGCGTGAATGGGTTTCTCTGAATGATGTGATTCGTGAAGGCCGTCCTTCAACAGCGACCAACGGAGAAAACATGGCCACTGTGAAACAGCTTATTGAAGGAAACCGACGTATCACGTATAAAATTATTCGAGGACATCTGAAAATCTGTATGAGTCATAGCTAAAAAAATTTACACGAAGAATTAAGTTACAAAAATTTCACCACCGTTGTCACCGGATCCCTCAGGAACTGACGCCACAATAGAAACGGACTCGTGTTGAATAGTGCTCAAAAATGTTGCTTACCCTATTAGAGGATAATTGGTGTGCTAATGATGAGCGGTACATGACCACTTGTTTACACACTGCCCTAGAAAAAGTCGTACAACACTTCATCGCACGAAATTATTTTTAGCCTCCGAAAAAATAGAGCTCGTGACCAATCCTGCACATAGTCCGGACTTGACTCCCTCTAATTTTTTTTTGTACACAGAACTATATGACTTTCAAAAGAAGAACATCGTATTTTTGTTATTAAAAAAAAGCTTCTTATACTCGCCACCTCGTTCCCAAACAATATTTATGACATTAATTCATAAAAACTTAATTTTTTTTTTCATAAATAATATCTCAAAATTTTACATAACAGATACGAGGGCGGAGCCATTTGGCAAAAATAACTATAATATGAAATGTGACGCTACTCAAACGCTCTACTGTCAATATTTTTATTCAATATCTTTGGTTTTTTGTTTTGTAGCGTTGGTTTGGCTTTCGCTTGAGTTTATTGGCGTGATTGTTAACAAATAATGTTTAAATATATTGTATTAAATATAATTAGGTCTTAAAATCTCGTACCCAATACTTAAGCCACACGGCACGGTACTCGTCTTAAAAAACCTTCATTTTAAACTTGAAAAATTAAAAACAATATAAATAAATTATTTTCGTTTATTGTTTCATTAAGTACAACTTGTTTTACCTTAAGAAGTTACGCAAAACTTGCAGTACGCCGTGCGTATTAGGTATTTTAAGACAAACGCACATCATCAATCGCATCATCACTTAATATCAGGTAACATTGTGACAAGCGTGTGTTAATTTATAATTATTATTATTTATTTATTTATAAAGCATGGGCCTCAGAGCCATCAGCTTAATGGTAACAAATAATCAAGAAACGCACAACGTATTATACATAAACTAAAAATTAATTAAAAAATTAATGTAAAAAATTTTACTATTAAAACCCGTCATTTTTTCAATTGTTAATTAATAACAAAAAATGCTCTTTGGATTTGTTACCACCTCTTAAATGTGTTATGAAGAGAGAGATATATATATATGTTATATATATATATATATCTCTCTCTCTTCATATTTATATATATATTTATATTATATATATATATATATAGTATATATATGTGTGTGTGTGTGTGTGTGTGTGTGTGTGTGTGTGTATAAGTATTCAAATGATATTTATTTTATTGAATATCATTCTCTTCTCGCTCTTACCAACTGATCCAAAGGACACATAAATTATTTCGAAACATTATCTTTCTGTATTCTAAATCCTAACACAATTTTCAGCGTCGTCTGTAACATCAATAGGCAGCGGATCATCCGGAGCCAGCCAGTCGCCTGTTGACCAGATAAGAGGTAAACTTATGACTCAACGTAAACATGAATTGCCTAATGAAACAAAACATTATATACACAATAGAACAGACACTACAGTAGTGAAAGGGATTAAAGATATAATTTAATTTTATTATTAATATAATTATATATTATAGTAATTAGATTTATTTTTGAAATGCATGCAGCGGTAATATAAAATGTGAGGTAATGACGTGGGATGTTACTTCACGCAGGAACTCGCGACTCCCGCGTTGGTAGCGCCGCGCCTCTGCTCACACCCGCTAGTCGCCGCTCCAGTGCTACGTGAGTCACGCATTTTAATAATAATAATAATTCGTTTATTTGCTCAAAACATGATATAACATAACTTGTTACAAGAGAGTGCCAGTACAAACATGTTTCGCATATATTAAATAGCATGCAAATGCCTAGTTATATAATGTCGATCAGACTACCGCAACTCAATAGTACAAAAACTAAACTTTCAAGTCGTCCAAAATAAACTTATTCATCATAATTTTGAAACTTGCTGTACATTTAAAGTAACACCCTGTTAATAATATTTTTTTAAATTTGAACTTATTATAACAGAAATGACGTAAACGTTAACAATGGAAACAACTACGTATTTTCATAGCATTTTGCATTTATGTAAATGTTGCCCGAAAAGGAATTGCGTTTTACGTCTATGGCGCTACGCAGTAGCCTCGGGCAAAGTGTGGCATTTGCCAACCCAATTCCGCAGCATAATGTGTTGCCCTCTGTCCTTTTCCTCTAACAAAAGCAAGCTACGCACTAGACACTCGTCCCTCCCGGTGAAAACCACAAAACCGACGCCAGTCGCTTGTAACGTCACAGGTCAACTGTCTGTATATTTTAATTAATTTCATTCATTAATCATTCACTGTCATACATTTTACATGTCCGATTGTTGCAGTAAGTGCGCAGTAGATAAATGACTTTGAATTTACTATACAAAACCAGCGATCATTATCACATTGAAATACCTAATAACTACCTAAACTTATTTACAGATACGCTGTTAGCAGCAGTCAAGATAGCGTACAGCAGGTAAACCGATCGTTGCATAGGTCGGCAGGCAAAAAGAAGAATATCGACGATTTCGATGAAGATCTGCCATTACCGCCTGAGTAATATTAGTATTACGCCAACTACGTGACTTTTATCAGATTATCGGTTAAATAAAAACATTTACATCTATCGTGACGTTGACCTCAATACATGAATACTGGTTGTTAGTAGAAACGAAATGTTTTACCTTTCGTATTGAGCTGTTTCTTTTTGTGAACTGTTAGGTGTCTAGTCCAGTAATTGACCTTTTGGTATTTGTCCTCAAAAGTACTGTCACGGCACAATATCAATTAGGGATAATTGGACGAAACTAATGTAGAGAGATAAAGAAAAAGTGTTCAAGGAAAGTAAATAATATATTCAAGTAAATAAATATTTAACTTTTTATACTGATAAAAACTAGAAAACAGCAGACGTGAAATATGTACACACTTGTACTTTGACCAATGACAAACGATTTAATTGTTTGTTCTAAGAGTTTGAGATGTTCTTATTAGTTTTTATATTCCAGAGACATATAGAGGTGGTAGAAAACAATTTAATTTAATATCACATATACGTTACATAAACCATATTCAACCCTACAGAATACAAATTCAATCGAAACAGTGGCAATTATTTTGAACATCGAACATTATGTCGCCACCATCCGTTTGGATGGGTTGTTATTGTTACAATTAAATCATAAGGAGTATTTCTATGCATAAGGTATATTTTTACATTCGTATTACCTAATATATTAATTTAGTTTTACAGAGGGTGTCAGCTAATCTAATTAGTTTTTGTACTTTTTCTTACAATATGGTTGGTAAACAATATATACAAGTTAATGGCCGTAACTATGCTACACGCTTTTCACTGAACAGCGGATAGTAGCATATAGTAGACGGAACACCAAAAGTAATCAATCAGAGATCAATTCACCATATTTGGTAATAAATACATCAGTCGCCATCTCGTGCTAATTTTAATGGTAGCACCATTAAGGAAATATAAACGGAAAGTAATTAAAAAACTTGGAAAATACGCACAACATTAAGTCCACTTATCTATCCAAAGTTTCGCATCAACCTTGAACGTTATCATAAAATTATCTTTAATTACCTAATTTACAGTTCACGCAGCTCTTTGCGAGCTGAAAGTCAGTAAACATTCTCCATTGTGGCATCATGTTATAAGCGTCTCTTGGCGCGTTGATTTTCACTTTATGTACATTATAATTCACAAGTATCACTGAAAGTCATGCGTTGTTCACAGAACACGCAGATATAGTCACTATGATACGATTTTAGAGAAGGGGTGCTCTATATGACCGTATTGTATGGCGAGAAGAGTGTCTTTTATTCGCTGGTACACTGGTTGCGCTTGTTTCATGGTGGGTATGGCGATATTATTTTCTAGGAAGCCTATCCTGCTTATAGGACTTATCAGTACTGCTGTGCCTGCGCCAAACATCTCCAATAGCTGCAACAAATTATTGCGTCACGGTTAACTTAAATAAACATTTCTTCTTCAGGTTAAACAGATACACAAATGCAAGTGCATATTTATTTTTAGTTATTAATAATATTAGTTATTATTAATAATATATTATATTTTTTTCCAAAGTCCAATATAAAAAAATAACAAATTCTTTACATGCAATGCTTATTGTTTTAGTAATTAATCGAATAATATCAGATAATCCGTAATACCGTTGATAATAAATGTTTATCGTTATAATTTAGTTCTGTTACTTACTCGTCCCTGTTTATTGAGTTCTAGAATTCGACCCATAGTCAATACTTCTTCTTTGACAACAAGGTCTTCCCATTGGCTAGCTAGTTCAATGATTGAACGGCGCGTTACGCCCGGCAGGATGAGGCCATTCAATGGCGGCGTACTTAATTGTTTATCTGCAACAAATCATGCTTCTGCTTTACAATTTTATTCGTGCCATTCGCTGTTTGCGTGTAAACAAGTATCATAAATGTATCATAGAATGGCTTTCAAGAATAACCCTAAAAGATACCTCTGTGTCTTCTGGATTACAGTTTTATACCTGGTTAGCATAGCAACTACTCCTTTTTCGGAGAGGATTTCGTGTTCAAGACCATTAACGTACACTTTGTTTTTCGTATCTGTGGTTGCAGGTGTATAAAAAAATAAGACAAAAAATCCTGATGTTACTGGCCCCGAATGTTGCCTCAGATAAATGTAAGACGAGAATTTACCGGTCACAGGGTCATAACGTCAAACAGATAACATAACAATATCGGCCAATAACACTATCTTTGTATACATTATTATTAATGTCTGTCTCCGGCTAAAACCAATTAAAATTATGAAAATATCACGACAGAAACGCGTGTAGGTACACCACATCGCATCGTTGATACTTCCTTATTTATTTATAAATAACATATTATTTACTTAGACGTGTTTATAGACGATGAGATTGCTGCTGTCTTTTGTCAGTTATTCTTTGTCTAGAGTCAAGTTTTTTAGATCAGTTTAATGTAGGTCAAAATTGGACGGCGCGCAAATATAACAATAATATGGTCTGTCTGTTTCTGCAAATTTGGACGTTATAAGGTACAAATAGGCCTCGGCAACATTTATTATATTCTTACCTCCTTGTTCATTAACATACACTGCGAAAATGTTCATAGCTCCGACTTCAGTGAGCTCGTGGTCGGGTCCAAACAGCCATAGTACTTGGTGGTGTCCCAACTTTGACGCCATTGCTGTGGTATCTTTATAAAACAAATGCCAAATTAATATTAAATACGAATTTTCAATTAAATAGCAAACTAGTATTGGGCAAGCAAGCGTTTGGTGGACTAGTGTCCAGTGACCAGAAGTGGCACGTAAGTAAGGTGGGTTGATCAATTGTTTTCATTACAGTGATCTAAAGAGTATTTCGTGTTATGCTGAGAATTGTCATGATCACCGAAAACAGTAAGTAGTAGTTACGTGAAGGAAAACTATGGACGTAAGGTATGGCTACATATTTATTTTTCGTTACTTTGCGTAGCTCCTATTACCTTGCCAGACTACGATTTCGTGATCAATTCAATTATATAATTCATTAAGTATAAAATAAGATATTTAATTGAATATTATTAACATACACTACCTTACATCTGTTTTATTATATTACTTTGTTGAGAAATGTAATAATTTATATTTTGTGATATTATTAGATCGCGTCTTAGAAGTGATGTATAATAATGCATTAAACTTTAAACTAGCGCTTATTGAGGTTCTCTCTCTCTTTTAGTAAAAGATGTTCACCATAAGCGAAGTACAGAAACGTTATTATAATAATGTCCTTTATTTCATTAAAGCAAAACAAGCACGAGTATACCTTACTAGTAAAGGAGTAGTTTTTAAGGATTTCTGTACAACTACACGTAAATCTTGAAAGCCCAGTCACCATGAAGACGATGTACCCTTCTAAGATAAAATTTAAATAAAACATGAAAATGTTTGTAATCAACACTTGCGTGTTGCTATCCAAAAAGAAGATACGCAGTAGAAAAAAGCAATGCAAAAGTATATCAGAAGCATTAAAATAATCTTACTTATCGTAGGTCCGTAATTAGATCCGACTTTTCTGTTGCCAACGCCTCCGGGGAAGGCTCGGACGACGTTGGGATCTGCGTATATCGAGACTGCGCCATCTGCACCCGTTTTGTAATAGGAGCTAACCGGGCTTAAGATTACGAACAGGAGGGCTGTGTCTGGCGCCATGATTCCGAAGCTTGGCTGCAAGTAAATTATAAAAGTTACTTAGTGAGAAATATTCTACATGTTAAAGAAAAATAAAAAAAACTAAGTTATATAATCGAATCGAACGGAAATAAAAGGTTCAATTGAATGTGGAATGGAACGGAAGCGAATTTTTTTGGACATAGCATAATGAACTTAACGTCAATTGTATATAGTCCGAACTGGATATGAAACAGTAACTGTGGAAATTATCGAGAATATTTCGGAACATGCGCAACTTGTTTCTTAGCTCGTATCTAGTGTGTAGGTGACTTAATGGACATAAAGTTCTTTATGCTATATACTATTTCGATACAATACTGCGCTTCCATTTCATTTCGTGGCAGTTACACTGCGCTTTTGGCGCAGCATTGAGCTTAACGTTGACATTATAACCCACCTCTGAGATGCCATGTTCTCATAATAATTAAGAGTCATGAAGTAAATAAAAAAGCTTTAGAGATAGCTTAATCTATCTGTTTACCAATTTAGTTCGAAAATATATGTCACTGCAATACCACAGCTAGTTATTTAATTCTTTGTTAATATTGCCGTAAACATTTTGCTAAAAGATAAAGTCTGAATAAAACTTATCTTGTTATCGCAAAATGTAATGATAATTAAAATATTTGTTACTGATTATCAAATATTTAGGTTTTTTATTGCGTTCTATGTAAAGTCTCGCGCAGCGATATGTTTTTGATAAGAATTTTTTGATCTATAATCATTATGTGCATTGATTTTTAATAGTTACGTATAAAAAAAATCTTTTATAATAGCTGCTTTAAAAGCATTGAGCTGTAAGTGCAACGCATTTAGTGCTTTAGACAATTTCGCGAATTTAAATTATAATATTTAGTAAAAACAGTTTGATAAAATATAATGCTAAAGACAACGCTTTTGCACTGAATTTCAGAGTCATAAATGATTCTGACTTAGTAATTCGCTTTTTTGTGTTATTACAATCATAAAATTATGTGCCCTTGTTATCTTTGCATATTTTTCAACATACTTTTGTACACAATTTGTTAATAAAAGTTTATTCATATTTGCAATATAAAACAGCAAATCTTACCTCGGTAGCAATTAACGTAGGTCGTATATAAAGTGTAGAGGTTTCTGAATGGGGCACCCACTCCTGGTCGATCTGAATTAGTCGGCACATGCATTTGATCAGCTCGTCTCCATCAAAAGTCGGAAGGCCGGATCTCTCAGCTGCCAAGTTCATGCGATCCATGTTCAGCTCTGGTCGGAATAACCGGATCTTGTCATCCACTCCCCGATATGCTTTTAATCCTTCGAACAACTGTAATAGGAATGTACGATTTAAAGGGAAGAACGAAGTGTCGGAATTCAATCTCAAAAAATATAACAAAGCGAGGAGAAAACATTTCTTTTTTTATTGATGTTAATTAAGGCGATGAAGGACATCGTAAGCAAATAAATCCACTTCATTTGTCATTCAGTGAAATGCTGTTAACATAATAAAGAGATAACACGCCTATATTTACATTTTAACTTTGATAATAACATGCGTAGGAACAAACCCATTTCATTGAGAGCATTATAATTATAAGGGCTGTAAATATCCTAACGTACTTGTATGGCATAGTGAAGAGCTTTTGCTGCGGGGTGAATAGACAGATTCTCGAAAGGACTGATTTCTGGTTTCTGCCAACCGCCGAGCTGCTTGTCGAAAGTCACTTTTAGCATATGGTCTGTGAAGAATTTACCGAATCCCAGTTCTTGTACCTCCGGTTTCGGATTTAACTGGTATGGTGCCGCAAGTCGCACTTGCAGGTCTTCATGCTGTAACAATAGTTCTTATTAAAGGACTGCACTCATGACGTAAGTCATGAAGACAGTTCTATAGGCGCAGCGCTCCATTAATCATGACGCTAACTGGATATATACAAACAGCAAGTAACGATGCAAACAAGATAAAGGTTCAAGAAATGATATCAACGAGGTTACGTTTGAAAAACACTGCGCATTCTAATTAATTAAGGAGGTTTTCCTTCTCCTTTATACATAATTATTTACCAGTTCATTCAATAAATATTTCTGATGATTCTTATAAGGTGATTTTGAGCCTACCTTGAATGTGTGTTCGGGTGTGGTGTTGACTCGGGGCAGTGTCGACGCAGGCCGTAAGGCCGCGGCTGAAGATGATGGCAGATGTTCGGCAATCTGCGAGTTTTCCTCTAATTCCTTGTACCGTAGCGACGAACTACATGCGCGTACGGTCTGCACTTGTAGCTTATGCTGATTTTCGAATATCCATTTCACGAGCACTTGTACCTGAAAATTTATACGCTAAATTAAATAACACCATTTGCTGCGTTATATGCGTACTAAGGCACTGCTGAGAAGTGGTATAACACTATACGTAGATTTATTTTTAAATAGAAGCGCGGCAAAGGAAGGAATAATTATTGTAACTTGATCAGTCGTGATATTAGATTGTAAAGGATCGTTTGAATTTTCAACGGCTTGAATACAACGAGCGGTGACATTCGACTAAATAATGATAATTTTTCGCTAAATCATTATGTATGTAAAATTACTAATTATAATTCGTAACTATTAATTGTAAACATCTATACCTATTTGATACGTTAAAGTATCCAAAAAGTACCAAATGAGTAGAGCAGAAGTCACCATCTTGCTCCTTTACATGAGCCACATAAAACACCTTAACATAACGCGCGACAAAATCTTACCTGGCTTCGACGAATAGGCATTTTGTAATCACGATTAATATAGCAATCACAGCAGATACACAACAGTTGCTTTCACAAAGTAGCACCTTTAATATGGTTACTCCAAATTGGACCGTATAAATTACTGGCACTATTCAAATTAGTACGTTCGTTACTCGCTCAGACTTAACTGACTCCACTGGATCTACAGCACAAACATTTAAAGCAAGAGCAAATGATAAGATGACCCTATGACGTGTGTAATCAACACAAATTATAACGTTGGTTGATAACGCGAAAACTTAATCAAAATAGATTACGTGTGTTATTTATTTGGCGGAATATAGTGCGCAGGAGCGCAGCAGAACGGGTGAGTGAAGACTGCGCAACTCCTGGCGCACGCCGCGGCGGGGTCGACCGAAACGCCTGTATTAGGTCAATGAGCGTCCAAGTCTTACACTTATAAACAGATATGTTAATACTCACTGGCGAATAAGTTTATTTACGCACGACGACACTAATTTACATTAACAATTATTCCACACTTTAGTACCTACTTTTTTGCCACTGATGATACAATAATGGCATCAATACACTTGTCAGACTTACATTGACTTTTCAGTCAATGTAAGTCTAAAAGATTAAATTAGCTTTTTTTACTGATTGAACTTTAATTATGGAAGTTTTTTATACTATATAGCTCTTATAACTTTAATACAAAAACTACTCACATATGTACATACTAAACAGTAGATTTAGGAACTCTAACAGAAACCGCAAACATTCTATAATATCAACAAAAACTTTAATCACATTATGAGAAACATTAACACTCGACAAATAATTTATTTTAATTAAAATAAATTGAAATTAATACTGTACTAAATAGTGCTACAAAACTTAAAGATACTACATTAATCAAGTTTCAATTCAGGCATCTCGAGAATCTTCCTTTCTTCATTCTTCGCATGTTTCTTTAGCATATCCATTACTTCGTTGTCGTATTCTGCCGGAGTGGGTTGTTTGCCAACTATCCAATAGAAGAGATCCCAATCATTGTCCACGATGTTAATGAGGCGATCATATTGCATGGTCTGCTCCTCAGTGAAACCATCAAGGTACTTGTGGGCAAACGTACTTAGGAGCAGATCATTCTCAAGCATTCCCCTCTTGCGAGATTGGTAAAGCAGCCTGGAATTAATGAAACGCGAATTATGGTTTTTAGTTTCTGGTGGCATAATGGCTGTATAAATGGTTTTGTGGCATTCGTATCAAATTTATAGTTAAACATTTTAGTTGAATTAACTAATTTAAATTAAGAGAGATAGACATCATCCATGGAATTAATTTCGTTACTCCATTATTCATAGACAAAAAATAATTCCCTTGTTATGACCAAGAAATTGTTGTGACTATGTGCCAGACAGTTAATTGTTATTGCATAATACTTTTGCACCCCAGTTACAGGAACGGTAAAGTCACATACTTATAATTAATAATAATTGTTATCAAGCACCTGACATTTAATCATTCATATCTGTATGTATTATATGCATACAACCAAAAAATAATGTTGATACGAATGATCGTCATAATTATTTGTTTATATCTTGTAACTGAGTGGTGACCAAATAAATCTGTGAAAATCATTGACCTACCAATAAATGGACGTCGGGTTCGCGCTAAAAAGTGTCCGCACCAACAGGACGTTAAAATCGCATACAAAGCGTCAATCGCGCAACAGTCTTCGTTTGTTCGAGTGACAGCGCGGTTGTCAATCATGCAGTACCATATAATAATAACTTGTATAAATTACTGCAGTAAAGTGTAAAAACAGGATTTTGTATCATATTTTCACTAAACAAATATATTGTGTTATCATAGTTCTCATTTAAAAGTGTTGTTTTGTACAGTTGTATCGTATTTAATCTATATATAAATGAATCGTAAATATAAATTACAAAAGCACATGTATATATAAATAAATATATATAATCAAATAGCTAACTGTCCTTTTTCTACACATTGCATGCGCAAAAGATGGAAAGTGACCCATTACGTCAATTTCAAGAAGCTTATATAAACTTTTTGGTCATTTTCAATTGTTCGAACCACAAGCTATTGAAATATTTAGAACAAAGAAACTATATAGTCGCTTTGATTATAATCTTATTTAAAAAAATATTTTTTATTAATGACGTTTAATTCGAGCTAACGAAATAAAATGTCATATGTATTTTTTTAGGAAAATTACAAAACTAAACTAAATCGGTTTTCGGAATTACGGTTTACGTTTAGTTGGAATATCAGTACATTTCTTATAGTACACGGTTATTTTCACATTTATAGTAATATTTGTGTGTTTGTATCTGCCCAACTCTTTATTATTTCTTTAAGTGAATTTGCACAAAATTCGACATAGTAATATATATAAAAATTAATTACTATTTACGATAAAGGCTACTCCATTACTCTTGTGTTCAAGTAATTTTCAGTCGAATCTAAATATGGTGCATTTTGTTAAATTTTCAGTAGAAGCTGAATTTGGTGTTTTTGGGGTCCTTAAATTGTTGCAAGCAAAATTAGGCCGTACTACAATGACGTTACAATTTAAATTAAATGTTTTAGTGTTTTTTATATTTCGTTACATGCACTACGTTTGTATAGGTTAACTTCGGACATTTTTTTCATGGTTTTTGTATTAGACCCGACATCCATTTGTTGGTAGGTCAATGGTGAAAATAGTAAAACGTTACACTTTCTTGAAAAACCATGACGCCAAAGAAAATCTCTGATAAAGCACACAAACAACTGATAACGTTTAACTTGGCATTATCTGGAATCAGCAGTACGCATAGTTACCTTGTGGGCAGATCCACTTAATCAATAATGAGGCGACTGATAATCTAATTGCCACACCCATTGACTTACAATTATATGGACGTCGGGTCCGCGCTAAAAAGTGTCCGCACTTGTAAGGCGCTAAAATCGTATACAGAGCGCCAAACTCCGCTTTAGTCTTCATTTGTTCGACTGACAGCGCGATACTGCGATGACATTACAATTTAAATTTCGAATAGGTTGACTTGGGACATTTTTTTCGTGGTTTTTGTATTAGACCCGTCGTCCATTTATTTGTAAGTCAATGGCCACACCCATAACAGTAGGGTTACGGCAGATTGTACAAATAAAAATAATATTTGCTTGATGTATTTATGATTTACTAAATTGGATTCTGGACAGTGTTACATATTGAGAAGAGAGGCCCTAATATCCTTGTTAATCACAAACAATATATGTATAATAATGTGTTTTTCTATGATAGGTTAAAAGATAACAAAAATGTCATAAAATAATATTAAAATGTACAAAAAACACAAATGCGCAGGACAAGCTTGTATTGTATTAACATGCAAACTGATTGAAGTGATGCAATATCTCTAATATTTTCTCATAAAAAAAGTTATACACAGATTGATGAATAACAAATTACACAATGTGCCTAGTTGTTAGTTATCTGTTTATAGATAAAATTTAATCATCTAGGCAGATTTGTGATGATTTAGTTTCATATGGCTACTGTTTGAAAGAATTACGGTATAATCGCATTGCAATCGTTGATTTTTTTTAATTTTTGTATATAATATTTTTATTATATATTAAATTTTTTTAATTTCATTTGATAGTTTTGTTGGTTTCATATAGGTACTATAAGACTACAACACCAACTAAAGTATCAATTTTTTAATTTATTTTTGTTTCTTAAATGCCGCGTTTTTGTCTTTGCTGGTTCTTGTTATGTTCTTTTTATTAACATTTCTTTATTTTAAAAATCTTGATACTGTTACTTCTGTTTAAAGAAAATTTCGAGTTATTTTTTGTGACATCCTTTGATGGTGTTAGTGGTACATTGAACTTCACCATAACAACCGACTGTGGAAGTGGTAATTTTAATAAACCAACGTGTAAAATGTTTGTCAAGCATGACATAACACTCTGAATAAGGCAGCTCTTTGCAAAGTTTTAACAGGCTTCAAAAATATAAATTGATAGTATTCAAAATATTTTCCTGTTAAACAATCACACGCATGCAGATCCCTAATTGTTTTTTTTACAGTGAAAGGTACAACATCCTTGGTAATTCACTAATTGCATTGAAATGAGTATTTAAATACTCATTTTTATGAAAAACAATAACTAGTCAAATAAAATAAAATAAATAAAAATCTTTTAATTTTTCCTTCTTAAAAAGACATGCCTTATCGCATTTATATTGGCCAACTAATATTCACATTTGAATTCTATGATTCACATACCCAATTTCTCCTTTAAAAAATAAACAGTTATTATTATATATATAAAGCTACAAGTTTTTACTCACTGATAGAAATAGAACACATACTTCCCAATATGGTGGGAAAAAAATATTTACACCGTTGTATGCGGATAGGCTCCAAAGCAAAGAATCAAATATGAGAGGACCTGAATATGGAAAATATGAAAGAGTGATCAATGGCCTGCAAAAACTATAATATACGGAGGGAGTATTTGTGCATTTTTATGAGGTACACCCTGGTCAATTTCCGCGGGAAGTAAAAAATGTTCGAAATTCAAATAAATAAGATGGCCGCCATACAAATTTCTAAGCCCCCTATCACGGAAACTATTATAGATAGGTAGGTGCTCGAAGGAATATCATAGAGGGTAACACTGGTAAACTGCCTGGGTTTAAAAAATATTCAAGATGGCGATTTAAAAATGGCGGCCGAAGAAAAACTCGCTTCGATCCGGCTGAAAATTGGCATGCAAGGGTCTCTAGGAGAGCTTGATAATAATTTGTGATCAATAATGATGTGTGGAAGAGAAAGCAGTTACTTCTAACAGTAGTGAAATATACGTTAAAAAAGATCTCTTGTGCTGAGTAAGTCGCACCTACAGAAAGTATTTCTATTATAGTTGTATAACTATAATATTACTTTTTTAGGACAATAATTTGTAACAAATCCTCTATAGAGGAAAAAAAAATTTGTTGCCCAATACTCAAATTTCAATAAATAACATGCATCTATTAAAAATATTCAGTTTCAAGAAGTTCCAGGATTTGTAGAAGGGAATGTCCACATTATTCTTTATGTTACTCGAATTTTAAGGTATTCCCTCCTCCTCCCTCAATTCAAAACACTGCTTTAGATCCTCTTTGGTTGGACTGAACAAAAGGGGGCACTATGGAAACAGATCAGAAAATTTTAATAATTTTCAAAAAATTACTATTGTTTGTTTTTAATGCTCATTACAAGTAGAATAGATAGAAATAAACATTTTTTATTCTTATCATTATTTTTCATCTACGGCCAATGATTATCGAGAAAATTAGCAGGAAAAGTTTTTATTTAAAAATATAAAAATTCTAATAAAAAGTGTTTATTTTCTACTTGAAACAAGAAAATTGAACTCAAATTACAATAACATTTTTAAAAGGGTCAAACGTTTGTCTTGTTTCCATAGTGCCCCCTTCGCTTCAGTCTGATCCTCTTTATTTACATAGGTACAAAGTCTAGAAAGTTAATCTGTTCTGTACAATTCCTTTCATCTCAATTTTTTTCTGAATTTAAAAGTTGATTCCTCTCCCTAATGTGTTGTTAATATGTACAAGAATTTTTTCCTGCAGCGATAAATTACTAGCTAGGTTTTTCAGGTCTGTAACTTATGCACTGGATTTAACATATTTCCCGTTGCTCTCTTAAACAGGATATATAGTATAAAAAGTACCTACCTGGATTTCCGGTCCTCAAGTGTCTGAGGTTTATGAATATCGTACACAGGCGGCCGAGGAATATCAGTGTTAGTAGTGTCTATGGTGCTGCAAAATGTTCTAACATCCGACTTTCTGCCTACCAGCCGTAGCAACTGGAAAACAACATACGTTGGTTTTAAATTTCGGACTTAAACATGATATTAAACTTCGGACTGTTATTTTACTCACAGGCCGTAGACGAAGCATTTTATGATTCTCTAGTTTAAAGTATTGCACATAAATCACAAACTACTAATACAAGACATAAATAGACTTTTCAAGAAAGTAAAAAAACAATATATTTTGGTGGACTCGACTGACACTGACAGTGAGACTATATCTTTTTAATCTGTGGAGTCAGTGACAATAAGGGAAGATTCACATTACGATTCGATTCGACAAGATTACGATTCGACATCGAGAAGATTACGATTTTTTTGTATCGATTAATTTCAATGCGATTTTCAAGCGAATCAATTGAAATTGAAAGCAATTCGAATCGTATTCATAGTTTGGGCAAGTCTTGTCTCAATAATGATTTCGTCAAGAACGACAGTACTTGAGTCGTACTCCAAAACTCCACACAATGCTCAAGTCAAGACTTGAGTGTGATTTCAAGCACTAGAAATCATACTTACAGCTTGGCAAAAAAGAGTATGACGCGGTGAAAACTGGAACTAAAAAAAGATATTTGTGGCAACACTATTAAAAATGTCAGTGGTGTCAAATAATCAGTAGCTTTTGTGTTATTGCTGTATGCGCTGAGTAATTTTATACGAAGCTCTGTAAATTCTCGTACGGTTGTTGCTTGTTTTGTTATTTAAAATGAACAAAACGATTCGTAGTAGTGGTAGAACAGTGATATACCAAGTTTTTTTACGATGTTTGGCTGAATCTCAAGCGGGACAAATTTTGTCTGAAATTAACAATGTTTATCAGAGAACAGCCGATATGACAGGTATTTATGCAAATTATTCAATTATTATTACGTTCTACATGTCGAATTATGCACTTTGCACTACTTATAATATACAATTAACGAGTTTTTGTGTTTTGTTGACAAAATAGTAACTAAGGTTATGTTTACGTATCATTTATAAGTTGACTTAATATTTTTGATTCTTTCAAGACTTAAAATTCAAATAAATTGGAGTTTTGGTATATTTGTGTATGTTTGGTATTTATTTTAGGTAAATCTGTCAATACCATAAGAAAAATTGTTGAAGAAGGTGAAAAAAATAATGGCGTGTTTTCTACACCTGGTAAACATAGGAAAGTTCGACCAAAGAAAGATCTCGATGATTTTGACCTCTGCGCAATTAGACAAAAGGTTCATTTCTTCTACACGGTGAAAAAACAGGCATGTATTATATTTTATATTAATGCCACTTTCTTCAATAAAAAAACAGTATTATGTAATAAATAAAAACTTTTTTTTTCTCAGGTGCCTACACTACGAAATTTATTACCTGTAGTTAAAGAAGATTTGGGATTTAATGGAAGCCGTGAACATCTAAGAAAGATATTACATTCTCTGGGTTTCTCTTACAAAAAATGTAAAACAGACAGATCGGCACTAATGGAGAAGCCTAATATAGTAGCAAAGAGGTAACAATATTTAAAAATTATAATGCATAATAGAAATTTGCTTCAAGAACTCCTAAACCATATTATTTTTTTGGATGAAAGCTACGTACACTCATCTTACAAGCTTAAAAAATGTTGGCAATCAATTGAAGTTAGTGGAGTGCGACACAATATATCTAAAGGCAAAAGATATATTATTGTGCATGCTGGGAGGGAAAAGGGGTTTGTTCCAAATGCACTATTAATTTTCAGTGGCACAAACAAGAATGAAGATTACCATTCTGAAATGAATAGAGCAAATTTCACTAAGTGGGTTACCGAGAAATTAATTCCCAATTTGACAGAGCCTTCCATTATTGTTATGGACAATGCTCCTTACCATTCGGTAGTCATCAATAAGTCCCCAACCAATGCAACAAAAGTTGCTGATGTAAAGCTGTGGTTGCTACAAATCAATATACAATTTGATGAAATGATGCGTAAACCTGAATTGTTAATGCTTGTAAAACGCCACAAACCAGAGGCCCTTTATGAAATTGACCAAATATCGGGGGATCATGGTCACACTGTGGTAAAGCTGCCACCATATCATTGTGACCTCAATCCTATTGAATTGATATGGGGAATTGCAAAACATAAAATTGTCTCTGTCAATGTAGGGTATCTAAGACATATAGCTAGTTTGCTATCTTTTAATATTAAGGACGCTGTTATAGAAGATATAACACAGTCCCACGACAATGCTCCTACTTTAAGTAGCAACAGTATACTTTTTACTAACCATAATTTAAACTGAAAAACACGACAACAGAAAAGTCTAATCGTTTCCATGTAGTACATCAAAATATTCAAGGCTTTTCTGGCAAAACATTAGAAATAAGTCTTTTTTTGAACGATATTTCCGTTGACGTGTTTTGTGTTACAGAACACTGGCTGAAAGATTACGAAGCCATTAACAATATAGAAAATTATGTAATAGTCAGTTCGTTCATAAGAAAGAGCTTAAGTAGAGGCGGATCCATGTTTATTACTAAGCGTAACTTAAAATTTAAAGAGCGTAAGGATATCACAAATCTTTCTACTGAACGAACTATTGAGATTTCATGTGTGGAATTGGATCAGTTTGTCGTCTTATGTGTATACAGGCCCCCATCTGCTAATTTTAACGAGTTTGAATTAATTATGGAAGACAGTTTAAAGCGGATTTTTCCAACCAAAAAAAACGTAGTAATATGTGGAGATTTCAATGTAAACCTGTTGGAAAACTGTTCTACTTCTGTAAGACTCATTAATTTATTTCAAAGTTTTAACTTGGTTAATCTTTTTTTAGAACCAACTCGCATTACTGCCTCATCTTCTACTTGTATTGATAACATCTTTTGTAACACAGACGCAGTGTC